GCGAGAAGGGGGAGAAAAAAGAACATGGCCTCGTGTTGCCTCCTCGCCTGTCCCCTCCATTCCCCGTCACATTCCCCACACTCGCGGGCTTGGGTGCGGGGATAGCGAACTCCGGAACTATAGCCATCGGTCATCCTTGTATTTTTCTCCCCTCTCGCTACAAAACAGCCGCGGCCCTGCCATATCAAGCCCAGAAAAAGAAGCGTCGTTGCGCGAGTGCAAACAAATCAACCGGGAAGTGATTCCCCCAACCCAACCTTCCCCCTCTCTCTCTCTCTCTCTCTCTCACGCCCATCATCATCAGAAACCCCTCCAGTTTAGCAGTAGCGCTCACCCGCGTGCGGTCTCCATCCACATCCACCCTCTTCTTTTCTTGGCGTTTTTGGTGGTTGTTGCTATCATTTCCTCATCACTCCGCTCCGCTCCATGTCACCGTGGCGAGGAGGCCGACGCGCCACGACCACGAGGAGAAGTTGTTAAGGTTTTTGTGTTGGAGTTGTGTGTGGGTGTGTGGCGATGGGGTGCAAGGGGTCGAAGCTGGAGCAGCAGGAGGCGGTGGCGCTGTGCCGCGGGAGGGCCGACCTGCTGGCGGCGGCCGTGCGGCACCGGTACGCGCTGGCGGAGGCGCACGCCGCGCTGGCCGACTCGCTCGCGTCGATGTCCGCGTCACTGCACCTCGTCCTCGCGCCCGCGGTCGCCGCGGGGACGGCCGTCGCGCTGCCCTCCGCGCGCAAGGACGTGGACGCCGCGGCCGAGGCCGCTGCCTCGCCGCCGCACTCGTCGTCGCACATCAACTTCGCGCCGTCCTCCGGATCCGAGTCGGGGTCCGTGTCCTCCTCGCCGAGCCGCCGCGTCGCCGCCGGCCACGAGCAACTCTACCAACCGAGCGCGCTGCCGTTCCCGCATTATGCGTACGGATACGGGTACGCGCCCGAGCCGCCGTTCGGGTACCCGCCGGGGTCGCTGCAGCTCTACTACGCGCGGAGCCGCCCGCCCCCGCCGTCCGTCGCCGTCGAGCAGCGCGCCCCCGCGTCGGAGCGCGTCTACTTCGGCTCGTTCGAACCGGCGCAGTATCACCCCTACGGAGGCGAGACCAGGAGGGCAGACAGGGCGGCCGCGCCACCGCCGTCGCCACCGAGGGCGAGCTCGTGGGACTTCTTTAATGTGTTCGACAACTATGAGGTGTACGACAACTACTGCTACGATGCTCCCGGCACCGGCGCCACGACGCCAGCGCCGTACACGCCAAGCCGGAGCTCCCGGGAGGTGCGCGAGGAGGAGGGCATCCCTGAGCTGGAGGAGGACGACGCGGTCGTCAAGGAGGTTTCCAGCGAGTACTCCGCGCACGGGAGCGGCGGCGCTCGCAGCCGACGCAGCTCTATCGGCGGCGTGAGCAGCAGCATTGCCGAAGTCGACGAAGAGGAGAATCCAGTCGTCGACAAGGGAGTGGTCGGCGGCGGCGTGGCGCGGCAACAGACGCCTGCGCATGGCAACGTCGCCGCGTCCGTTCCGACTCCCCGGAGAGCCGCCGATGGTGCAGACGTTGCCGGCGAGATCAAGGCGCAGTTTGTCCGAGCGGCGGACGCGGTCAGGGCGCTCGCGCCGATTCTTGAAGTCGGGAGGCGGAGCTACCATCCCCGGAGCTCAGTGTACCATGGTGAGCTATCTCTGTTCTTTGTATAACCTACGCATGCATCTCCCGATTACCTCGTGCCTGATCATTGGAGCCATTGTTTGATTGCTGTTCGGAAACAGTTTCATCTCGGATGGTGTCAGTGATTGCGCTGCCGCATTCAGGATACGGAGGCAGCGACCTGTTGGATGTCGGAGGAGGGGAGAAGGTGGTGGGAGCAAGGAACTTGTCTTTGACTCTGCAAAAGCTCTATATCTGGGAGAAGAAGCTGTACGACGAGGTGAAGGTATGTATTTACAGATTGAAGGTGCCCACCTTGTTAAGTAGGAGTAGTACCCTATTTTGCTGTATGATGCAGTATATTTTTTCGACAGTATGATGTAGAGATATGTTGGAATATGCTAGTAGCATGTTAAATGAGATGAGCCCTGAGATTGCTCTTCAAAGTGTTGTAGGTCAGGATGCAAAATTGCTGCTCGCTGAGTGGTCCCATACTCCCATTTGAAACAACCGAGTACAGGTCCTGACTAGAGAGCAATACCATTCATTTCACTGTGGCAAGTTTGCACAGTGACAACGTCCTTAACCAGTCACCAATAGTCACGCCTATGTAGAAAGATGGATTTGAGATCTTAGCATGGCATTAGGTGTTTTAAGGCTGAATCTTGTTGAGATGTTCATGCATTATGTATTGCCCACTCCTCCCAATTCCAACCTACTCATCCCCAAACAAAAGCATACACCCCTAACAGTGTTGGTTATTTTAGTACTGTTGCATTGGGTCTATCTTGAATTAGGTGTGCTGCTTGATTAAGAAAATGGCTCATTGAATAGCAGAGTTGAAAGTGCCTTTATGGGGACCTAACAGCCAGATTTGGAACTGTTCTTTTACTTGCTGTATTCTAAGTTATGCATTTTCTTCATAAGCCTATTAGTGAGATTTATTTAGTAAGAACACTTACGGGTTGGTGCCTTTTCCTCTAATGGCAATTTTATCAAGATGTTGCTGCCATGCCTTTTTAGGTTCCCTTGTAGCATAACAGGACAATATTATATTTTGTTTTCATATCATTATCACCCTACGTGTAAACTAATAATCCTATGAGGAACCCATCAATGAAGAATTACTGCTCTTACATTGGGGAAATCATGTTGTTTGCTTGAGCTCACCCTTGGTAGTCTCTATTCCGTATTGAATGTTTTGGTGCTGTTTTCCTCTTCCAGGCTGAAGAGAAAATGCGGCTCCTGCTTGCCAAGAACTCTAAGAGGCTGAAATTCTTGGATCAAAAAGGCGCTGAAGCTCCCAAGATTGATGCAACTCGTAATTTGGTTAGGAAGCTATCAACAAAAATACGGATAGCTGTGCGAGTTATTGCTAAGGTGTCGAAAAAGATAAACAGAGTAAGGGACGAGGAGTTATGGCCACAAGTTAATACCTTAATCCAAGGGTACACTCTATTCTTTCCCTCTGACATTTATTCAAATAGTCTGATTTAGCTTTGTCTTTACCCATTATTTTTTTTATTTTGTAATGTCAGTCCACATGTGTAGTATGTCTATCAGAAAGTAACTGCCTTAATTCTGAAGGTAATTATGTACCAGTGCACTAAATTGATCTCTGTAGAAATTGACACATTTTCATAACAAAAATGATTTATGCACATTTAAGTTAATCAAGTTAAAGCATCACAAACAGTCATGTGTACGTCTAGAATTGCTTTTTTTTTTGGGTACTCTATGGCAAAAGTGTATTTGACGATACCTATGTTGTAGAACAATCAAGTGGAATACTGAACACTCCAAATTTATTTTCTAGATATTCTTGCATTTCATATTATCTTCAAATCTAGTTTGTGTCAAAAGAAAAGTCTTATAGCCATCTTTTACAGGTTTGTGAAAATGTGGCAAGATAAGCTGAACTGCTACCACATCCAGTGTCAAGCAATATCAGAGGCAAAAAACTTGGATTCAATAATTTCTGGTGGAACCAGTCGAGATCTGGCAATGGAGCTTGAACTAGAGTTGATTAAATGGATCGTCAATTTTTCCTCCTGGGTGAATGAGCAGAGGAGCTTCATCAAGGCACTGAATGGATGGCTGGCACTCTGTCTTAACTATCAGCAGGAGGAGACGGCTGATGGAGTTCCTCCGTATTCTCCTGGAAGAGTGGGCGCACCCCTTGTGTTTGTCATCTGTAATAGCTGGTCCCAAGCTATGGATCGGATTTCTGAGAAGGAGGTGATTACCAGCATGCAAGCTCTTGTGTCTAGTGTACGGAGCCTATGGGAGAAACAAAATGTTGAGCAAACTGAACAGCTGATTGCAATCCGGGAAAGAGAAAAATGGAACAAGATATTGGAAAGGAAGACCCTGGAGATTAACAAGGAGGCCGACACACTCAACAGAAAGCTAGCTCTAGTACCGGGCCGGCAAAGCCTTCTTCCAACAGCACAAACGTACCAGGTCCATTTTCTTGAGGCAAACAGTGTGCAGGTTAGTTTGAAGCGTGTTCTTGAAGCCCTAGAAAGTTACTCTTCCAATTCCCTGCGAGCTTTGGATGAGACCCTGAGGCATGCCGAAGAGGAAAGGTTGTCTAGAGAAAGAGCCAAAGTTTCATAGGCATTGGCATAGAGGTTCCATCTGACACTACAGTGAACACAGCTTGTAAAATACAAGGGTCTCCTCTCCAGGTGGTTATAATTTATCAGATCAATGCAGAATGTTCTGGGCAAATGCTGCTTGCAGATCAAATTTTTGTGGGGAAGTTCTGACTTTGGAGTTTTGCTAACTGACCGTTGTTTGTCGATGCAGTTCAGGCAAATGTCCTGTGTTGATCCATCATAATAGATATAGTTGTGTTGAAGTAGCAGGTACATTAGGTACATATAGGTGAAGTGCTCGTTTCGGTGCTAGTATGCAATGTACTGATCTTCTGTGTTGCCTTTTTCTTGGCCTCCATACAATTGAATGAATGAGCAAGAGTGCACTTGGAATGAATGTGCAACTGTGCAAGAGTTGAAAGAGTTGAATGCAGTTCGTGGCGTTGTATTGAGTATTTTTCCGGTGCACTTGAATGAATGTACAACTGTGCAAGAGTGGAAAGAGTTGAATGCAGTTCGTGGCGTAGTATTGAGTATTTTTCCGGTTTAATAGGGAGGTATATACTCCCTAGTATATTCTAGGGAGTACCTCATGGTTACTTCTCATGGAGTACTTCCCAAGAGCTATAAAAATTCCAGAGAGCAAAATAAATTCTGCTAACAAAATTCAAAAATCAGAAGGAAAATTGTCCACTGAAATCTTGCCTCCCTCTCTCCTTGCACAGGCAAATGAGTCATGCATTCATCTGATATTTTGACGACCGTGATGAAACCATTATTTCTGTTAAGAGATTTTTTTTCTCCAACTTTCTGAGGGTTTTTGTATTTTGTAAGTTTGGTGCTGCCGAGTGCACATGAAGTGTCCTACCTTGGCGTACATCCAGTTCGTGTCAGCGACTTTCACGAAATTACAGAGGGAGTTGTGTACTTGTGTTCTGGTACAATACCTTGCACTTCTGTAAAGGAACTCAATTACACTTGGCCCCTTGAAGCATGGCACAATTTGTGGAATTCTGCACTTACAATACTCTGACCGCACCTATAGATAGAAAACGAGAAACCATGTACAGTATCAAACAATCAATCACACAAGTAGCTAAGCAATCTACGGGAGCTGTACGCTAGCACCAAAATTTACCAGCGAGTCAGCAACCCAGCTTGTATTCCGTAGCTCCTGTACAAAAGAATATCATGATTTCTTGATTTCCCAGCGGCGTCCCCGTATGACATACCCATCTGATGTCTGGTCGCTGCCTTCCCAACTGTCCACAACACCAGCTGAGCTTACGTCCCTGCGGTGCCGTTTTCCTCTACCGATCCCACTGTCACTAGAGCTCCCGCATATGAGAGGATCATCGATCCCATGGATTGCTCTCTGTGGCGTGGAGGTACTCACCCAATTGTCATCACGGCTTTGCCCGAACTTGCCCTTCTTCTTCATTAATTTCTCAAAGCGCTTCCCGACTGGTCGCACTGCTTGCTTCATCGTGAATTTGAGATCTTTTATCACCTAAAGATAAAGAAAAACACAAAACATAATAAGAATATTGGCAAACACGTGCAAACTAGGTGAAGCAGATAAAAAAGAAATGGTGAAACACAGTGAGAAGCCCACACCTCGGAGGGGTGAAAGCAGTAGATATGAGCTCTACGAAGAAAATCTTATGAAGTGTAAAAAAATAAAAGAACAGAATAGATTTAAATCTTGGTAGGACTAGTTTGCAAGAACTCACATATTCTCCACTGCCAATTACAAAGTCTCGAACACTCTCTTTAACATTTGTCACAATTATCTCATCTGGTTCCAACTGTGGAAGCCTCAATTTGGTAGGCCGACTAATATCTTTTATCTCATCAGGGTCCACAGGGTCAGTGGCGGCATAGTCCCCTAGCACTGAAATGTTTTCAGGTGAACGATGATTACCTAATAGCGAATAGGGCTTTGCAGGGAACACATATAGGTGAACAACTGAAGCAATACCCATCTGCGCTGGAAAAAGAAATACACTCTGAGGAAAACATGTATGAGGAGTTGCCCGCAGGTGATATACCGTAGGTGAATTCAACCCAAGAACTCTCTTTACAGAAATGAGCTTGCAGGTTATGAAAAATAAACGATATTCTTTGGAAGCCCGTCTAACTCGGAAAGGTGAGGTACCTCTATACAAATGATGAAATCTTGAATGCTTGACTTTAACTCCAAGCTCTGTGCCAACGGACTTCTAACCAAGCCCAAAGAATACATGATAGCAATCATAATACCCTGCCACCAAGTTAAAAATACTATAGATTTGAACGAAAGAAATTTTGCCAATGGCTTTATATGTGCCAATTCGTCCTTAGTAGCCGTGTACCACTCCACCAAACAGTATAGGGCCCAATATTGACTGAAGTTAAGGACAGCGGCAAAGTATGGGTATCTGCAGTTTGAACAAAAGCAATGAAGTTGAAAAAATGGATAAGCATGCATAAAATAATTCATTGAAGTGGACTGCTAGATGTTCACATATATTCTGGGGATAAAGACAAGGTGATAACAGCTTATGCAGTGACACAGGTAGAGTCATCAAGAAGATTGCATTACTCTTCTATGCAGTTATCTGTCTCTGCATTATTCCTATTATAAAATTTTTCCAAGCATTATGAAATTCAAATTATAAAGGTGAATGCCTTTTGCTTTGCTGAACTCAAGACACAAGAGGTGAAAATGGAAAATTGTCTTACCCGCATCTCAAATTGAATTCTCCATCACAATATGCACCAAAAGGTTGAAGAATCAGGGATAGGCTAGCTGTGAGGGTCTTTATAATCACCTGCACAGGTACAAAGTACTTAACCAATATGCTCTCAAAATCATAAATTCCATTTCAACTAGCTGGACAAGTGGTCATACATATTGAAATATACCAAATTTGATAATCTGGTAAAACCTCACACCCATTCTCCATGGTTTCAATATGTAATTCACAGGGAAGTGATGGTGTATGATCCCTTTTTCAGAAGCACCATGCAAAAGAGGTTCCCCAGAATCTCCGCCACCCTCCCTCTTCAAAAATGCAATTGTCCTTTCTTCACCACCTATATACAAAATATATACATTTTTTTTCAAATTAAATAAGAGCGATAGATGGAGAGCTTCCAAATTATTAATGAACCGGTTCCATATAGTATTTTTATCATGTTAATCCTACTTTCCTTGTATAAAAAAGCAATTAATGGGAAAATATACATAGGGATGCATTGTTTGTTTGTCCAAGGTGACATTTTTAGTAGTTATACACAGGTTCATTTTATTAAGCCTCTTCTCTCGGGTAAATTCCCTCGAATAGAATCCTTGATAACAACGATACTGTTATCTCAGGAATTTAGGCAGATAGAATGGTGGATGCCTTTGCATAACCTTATCGAACAATAGTTCCAGTTGTTCTGGGGTGAATATAGACTAGCTGTATACATGGAAAACCTGTATCCAGTTATGGAGGTACATATTATATATAAAGGACCATAAATGAAATCATGCCTCATTCCAATGCCAAAGGTCTGTTTCTGTTACTTGGTGTGTTGAAAAATTTATGAATGCCCATAAATTGGTCATCCTGCCAAAGTTTTGCCCAAATTGAAAGCACAATAATATGTAGCTAGTCATTGACAAAGTCCATGGGGTTAGACAGGCCACAAACCAAACATAACCCAACTACCTGCATTGTTTTAACATATCCATCCCCACGTTCCCTCAAAATGGGAAAAAAAGATTGGTGCATCATAGCAACATCATAAATGTGACAGATCTATTGCAAAAAGAGTAGACCGTAGATCAATCTTTAACTAAATGTATAAGTGCAAGTAGCACCCTGAGAGTGGCAATGAAAGTTAGAATGTCTAAGAAAACAGCTCACCTAAACAAGCAGTAATATATCTTCCAAAGCAATACATAGCAAATGCTTCATAGGCGTCACGCAGGATGCCACAGTACACGCTAGTGTCAGGATTTACCAATGAAACATACTGTTGCAGAGGAGAAGCAAAGATCATCAAATACGCAACTAAAATATCTGAAGAGCCCTAATCCAACAAAAAAAAACAGAAGTTGCTTTGGAGATATTACCGACTCAACTGCATAGCAAGGGACCATCAAGATAACACCGAGAACAAATTTCTGTTCCTGGAAAAACACAAAAACGAAATGGATATTGTTTGCAGACATGACAAACCTTAGTATTGATAACATGGTGGAGTTCCAAAGCAAACCTCTGGATTGTTGTATGCTGAAAGGTGCTGGAATATCAAGTACATAGAGAGGGAAACAGAAAGCAGCATGAAGAACCCTGAAATTAGTATGGCCCATGTGGGTGCTGCATATTCGGCCATCAAAGGCAGGAAGAGCGCAGGATTGACCCTCATGACAGCTGGTAACACTTCCTTGAAGTCCAATAAACTTATAAGGACTCAACATCATATAGTCTCCTTAACCATAAGGCGGAGCATTTCAATTGAATGGGCTTGGTATCATATACATATAACCCAATGCTGCCACCATATGAATCAAATTCCCAACCCAAATAGTTTACTATCTGCAAGGAAAATGTCTAAATAATGTAAATCTACCAACAGCACGAAATTTCATATGAGAATTGGGAAATTGAGTGACTAATAGACCACCCTATTTAGAGATAACGGTGAATAATTGAGTATGTAAATAAAATCTCCTTGCCTACTCCAACAGGCCTATAGGAATAGGAGTGAGCAGAAATGTAGAATTACACAGTGTGCTGACTAAACGAATTCACCGTTTTAATAGATTCAGTTATGCAAGAAAAACTTCTTTCCCCCATAAACACAATCCAACTAGGCAACTAGTATAGGCAACGATAGTTGCACAAAGTCTAGCTAATAAACCCGCTCACATATTTTTTTTCTCTGTCCATAAATCCACGAGCAACTGAAGATAATTCTCACGGCTAATGCCCTTCATACCATAGGCGCGACCAAAATCCACCGCTAAGGCAAAGTTACAGAGCAATCAGATGGGGTTCGTCTCGAATTGAACAACCCGGCTTGCGGAGCTGAACTCCTAAAAACCTAACTAACACAAAATAGATGACGCGGTTGCAATCTAGGTTGGGACGGAATCGAATTCGAAACAATCGAAGAGCCTTAGGGGAAAAGCCAAAAGAGAGACACCCACCCAAGCTAGGGTGGAATCGAAATCGAGTACCTGGGCAGGTGAGCGCGAACTGGCGTGGGCGGCGTGGCCAGTTCGACGATCGCCGGAGCAGTTTGGGGGTTTGGGGGCGGCGGCGCGGCGGCGTTCGTCGCGCGTCGGCGGTGTCGTGGGCCAGCCGAAACGCGAGGAGAGTAGATGCGCTGACGTGGCGTCGATAGCTTTCACGGCTCCAGCTGGAAAGTTCGGGAGTAACACGGCGTGTTTAGCGAGAAAATCTCTTGATTTTCTTTTTAAAGACCAAGAAGAAAACCATTGGGAACTCGTTGAGCATACATCAATTGCTTCACGCGAACGAGAATCACGCCTTCCACCGCGCGAGCGATATTCAACTGTGGCATATATTTAGGATGTAGTGATGTAGTACTACCGAATTAATTGCTTAGTTAAGGGTCATTTGCGAATATGATGTTGCGAAAAATATACTAAAACATAATGAGCCGTTTAATGCGTTTTCAGGGAACTTTTATTATCTCCTTTGAAACATGAAACGCATGATTAAAAAAACAGAGAAATAGAAAATAAAATTGTAAGTGTAAAATATAGAACTATAAAATAAAATATAGGAAAAATTTAGGAATAATTGCTTGATTAGACAGCAAGAAAACATATATGAATTAGAGGAGATCAAAGGAAACTTTCCTTGGGGTTCAATCTCATATTTAAAATTCCTCCAAAATATATACAGATAGAGGCATTTCTTAGAAATATTGTAGGATTCAATAGTATCCATTTTTTTTTGAAAGGGTCATAGAAGAAAGGCAGAAAATGTTATATAATTTAATTCCTACAAAATTTAGTGTTTTTCCTTCAAATCAGGGCAAGCTCAATATATATGGTGTAGCGTGAATAACGATATTGTTAGCAAGATCTTTTACGTGCCTGGAGCAATGAAGCCGGTAGCACCACTGCTATCCATGAACAAGCTACAGCCAAGCAGAGACTTAAAAAAAGAAAATCACAAAGATTTGTGCTCCTTTTGTTTATAAACTTGTGTGTAAGAACTGAGTTTGTTCGCTCGGAATTTATGTGGTTGTATGTACCCCATTGGTGTATAGAAGCCAGGTTTTATAAATTCCTATTATCTAAAAAGAAAGAAAATCACAAATCTTGAATGACACAAAGTTTATCCTTCAACTAGAACATCAATTACTGTTAGGCTCATTGTTTGGAGGAGCTGAGAAATAACCGGCGGGTATCCAGTTGAGCGCTGAAGAAGTTACGTTTATTGTCTAAATTCTATATATACTTATTGAGAACCGAGAGTAAAATCAAAGACAATTTGAGTACTAGAGATTCTAGGAGTGGAGTAGCTGTTGCGGCCAGGGTTCAATATTTTGGTTTGAAATTTTAGGAATCGCAACCCCCAACCCCAAAAAGATCGTTAAAAAAAATAAATTTAATCAAAACTTGTTTAAATTTCAAGTTTTTAAGGTCAAAATTTTCGGGCAATTCGGGAAATTTTGTTTCTCTGGATGATCAAAAGTATTTTTGATTTGCAAGATATAGAACTTTGGCTGCTACTAAGGCTGCATTTGGTACCACCAATTAGAAACTTGTCTCTCACGCACGTATAACAAAGCAAGTTATTACTCCCTCCGTCCCATAATATAAGGTATTTTGATTTTTTTCTTGTATTGTTTGACTACTCGTATTATTCAAAAAATTTTGGAATTATTATTTTTTTGACTTACTTTATTATCCAAAGTACTTTAAGCACAACTTTTCGTTTTTTATATTTGCACAAATTCTTCAAATAAGATGAGTGGTCAAACAATGCAAATAAAAACTCAAAATCACTTATATTATGGGACGGAGGGAGTAGCATAAGATTAATTAAATATTAGCTAAAAACTTTTTAAAATAGGATAATATGATTTTTTTAAAAGCAATGTTAGTATATAAAAATTTTATAAGAGACGCATCGTATTTTAGTAAGCGTGCGAAAAAAATAAGAGAAATGTTATGGGATGTTCCATACACTCGCACGTACTACAATAATTAGGTTTTACGAAGTCCATGGGCATGGAGTCATGGACAACGTATTCACTAATCATTGAAAAGAACAGGTGCGTGCATATGGGAAAAAAAAGAAAAGAGAAATAGAAAACTAAAAAAGGATAGAGATAATAGGAATTATTGGTCCATGTGGTGTGTGCCAACAATAACTCAATTGATGATGTGTGCAGCACAAGGCATATGCGAGCTTCGGTTTTTTCAAGAGGGTTGGCTTAGAGAACTATGTTTGTTGTACCGAAGCACCTCAAAATTTTTAAGAGAATACGTATACAACATTCAACAGAAAACCACACCTAAAATCTATCAAATGTAACTATATAATGTAATCAACAACATCAAACAATATTTTTTTATCAGCGTTTTAGAAACTATCGTTTTAAATGTCCAAAAATACTACGTAGCCAAGATGCTTTATTCTGTTTCCACTAAGTATATATAGTGTATAAACATATCAATATATATTTACATCATTATCAACGGCATCCGCAAGATGTTAATTTTTCCCCCTCATCTAGAAATTACGCTCTATGTCCATATGGCACACCAAAGATTTCTGTGTTTCTTTCCCGAGAAATCGGTCACATGAAAGGATTCAAGTGTTCCGTTCGGACATCAGGGAAGAACGATCGAGGATCAGAAAAGACCAAAGCATATGGTGCAGCAAAAGCATTGCGTATGCCCACGATCTGCAGCAGCTGCAAGCGCCGGTCGCTCTTACGCTATCTCACTCTCGGAGACGGGTGGCCAGCGGCCGGGCCAGCCCAGTCCGACCCCGGCCGCGGCGACTGGCCGTAACCGTGCGCGCCGCCGCCGCCGCCGCCCCGTGCCGCGGGACGCGGGGACGCCGAGCCGGGGGCGCCACCGCCGCTGCCGCCCCTGGACATGGACTCGATCTCCTCGAGGACGGCGACGACCTCCCTCATGGAGGGCCGGTTCTTGTGGTCGGCGGCGAGGCACCGGAGCGTGAGCTGCGCCGCACGCTGCGCGCCCCTGGACGAGTACTGCCCCTCGAGGCGCGGGTCCATGAGCCGAGCCAGCTTCCGGCGGTCGGACAGGAATGGCTTGGCCCAGTCCACCAGGTGGTGCTGCCCGCTGGGCCGCCCGGCGTCGAGCGCGCGGAGCCCCGTCAGGAGCTCCAGCAGCACGACGCCGAAGCCGTACACGTCGCTCTTCACGTACAGGTGGCCCGTCGCCACGTACTCCGGCGCCGCGTAGCCGTAGGTGCCCATCACGCGGGTCGTCACGTGGCTGCTGCCGCCGGCCGGCCCGTCCTTGGCGAGCCCGAAGTCGGAGAGCTTCGCGTGGAATTGCTGCACGTACGCATGATCAATCCGCGAGGAAAAGGAGATGATCGAGTTAGACGACGGCGTGTACTCTGGCGGGAGGCGGCAGCGTGCAGGGCGTTACCGTGTCGAGGAGGATGTTGGAGGCCTTGAAGTCTCGGTAGATGACGTGCTTCTCCGACGAGTGGAGGAACGCCAGCCCGCGGGCCGCGCCGATGGCGATGCGCAGCCGGAGGCTCCACGACAGCGGCTGCTGAGGCGACGCGCTTCCGCCCTCTGGTTGACACAAAAAGATTGTCATTTTTCAGCTCTCGTTCTACCGTTCAGTTACAGTGTGTTCAGAAAAATTCTGGTTTGATTTTCCGATGCCAGCTTTGCAATCCAATAATGAAGTAAATTCCATTGTCATTCCAATTCCAACCTGGCAACCCAATTATATCTATATATCTATACTCTTCATATCAAGCTAGCTTTTGATACTCTATTCACCTGTATAAATTATGCACTATCAGTTGACTCTGTTCTCAGAACATCCACTAATCCCCTCTCCATGTGAAGCAGAACAATGATCTCAATTTGTCCCCTTGTGACCACCATCAGGCATCGTTAATTAGCAGCCCAAGTCAAGTTGTCAGCTCTTAATAATCATGGCCATACCGTCATGGATCTGAAAGCACCATGAAACCTTTTGTCTTAAAGTTTACTTACTGCGTGGCTCACTTCTGAAGAGGTGGTTCTCCAAGCTGCCTTGGGCCATGTACTCGTACACAAGCAGTAGCTCCTTGTCCTCCCAGCAGTAGCCCAGTAGCCTCACCAGGTTGGGATGTGAAAGTCTCCCCAGAAAATTCACCTCGGACTGCAAACAAATTCGTTAACGACACAGTGGAAAAGCCAAAAAGAAGAAGAGAAAAACAACAGTCGCATCAGCACCCGACGTGCCGACCACTAAACATGCACACTGCCTACTGACGAACCATTGCATGAACATTTTAATACCAACAAGATCAACACCATTTCTTCATCAATCACAAGGTGGCATCCCATTTTGTCAGCGAAGAAAGATTTGACTCATGCATCTCAGATTATGACGGGAACGCGTCCATGCGTCGGGGAACTAAGGACCAATCGTAATTTATGCTTCGCATGAGAATGTGATGAGATCAAGAGGGCTAAATCATTTAGTCGCGGATTCTACAAAGTTATTGTTCTTTTGATCATGGTTTATTTGACGAAAAGAAATATCACGCACCTGCCATTCTTGCACGCCCTGTAAGCTCTCCGGATCGAGCTTCTTGACGGCGACGGCCATGCCGGAGCCGCTCCGCGCGGGGCTCATGGTCCTCTCGTCCACCCACCCCTTGTGCACCCGCCCGAACCCGCCCTCGCCGAGGACGGTGTCCGCCTTGAAGTTCCTCGTGGCGGCCCTGAGCTCGGCGAACGTGAAGATCCGGAGGTTGGGCGCCTCCAGGATCCTCCCCTCCGCGCTGGCGTCGCCGCCGGCGTTCGTCCGGCCTCCACCACCAGCCACCGATCGCCCGCCGCCGGTGCTTGTGGCTGTGGCCTGGCTCGGCAACTTACCAGTTGGTGGCCGCCCTGGGCTCATCGCGACGCGTGCATTGGGCTGCGCGATCGCGACCATGACCGGTCTCGCCATTGCCGCTGCAAAAGAGCAAAACCCAGCACACGAAGTGCGTCAGAACTAGAGACGCAGCACCAAAACCATGACAAAATGGCTTTGTTGGTTCCAGATCCCGATGAACAAAATAAATCTCACGAATACAAAGAAAACGTAGTGATATTGTAAGCAGAGCATCGGGATGTCGATATTCATATATGTACCTTGTGGCAGCGCATGACGGGCCATCACCTTGACGGCCTCCACCTCGCCGTCATCGGAGCCGAAGCAATTCCCCATGGCGGACGCGGCCGGCGAGCAGCCAAACGAGCAGGGAAGCACCGGGAGCACTTCCTCTCTGTGAGTCTCTTCCCCGAGCTATAATGGCTTGTGTGCGTAGATCATGTCCTTCCAGCGACGTGCTTCGCCATGTCTTCCGCTCTTCCTCTATTAAAAAAGGAGGCGGAAATGACCTGGACGTGGTGTGGAAGGACGAGACGAGGCCTGGAGGAAGGCTGCTCCTGGCTGGGCGACTGGTCGACTGTCATCTGGGAACCCATGCATCAGGGGAGGAGCACATGGCGGCATGGCCGCATGGCGCATATCGCGGCAATATACATGTTTTGTGGCACACTGGCACCTCGTTTCAAATTTCATCAGTGTTCAAAAACATTTTGAGTTTCTCAAGATTAGAATTTTTTTTGCGGGGTCAAGATTATAATATTAGATCCATTCCAATGAAAAAAGAATATTAGATCCATTTGCCTATTATTGTACTTATTTTTCAATTTTCTTTTGAGAAACGCTTGTTTATAATATGGGATATTTAGCAGAATTGCTAACCTTCATTTGACACAAATTTGAGTTGAATATCTGATGAATCCTTCACCATTAGATCCTTGTCACTCTTTCTCCTTGAAAGCCAGCGAGATAGTGGCGACTTAAGTTAGGATCCCATATTAAGATCGGGGTAGGAGGAGGGAATTCGCCAACCTTAAAGAGATGGTTAGGTAGTGGAATGGGCTGGCGGCAAAATTGCCATAGCCGAGTAGTCGGTAACTAGCAGTGGGCCAGTGATAGCGGATCCAACAGCAAATAGACACAAGAGACGAGAAAAAGGTAGGGCGTGAGAATATGATTTGGCAAATTGGCAGCCCTTAGGTAGGGCGTGAGAATATGATTTGGCAAATTGGCAGCCCTTTGATTTGCAGTAGGATCTTGTGGGGTTTATGATACCCGGGTATTCGATAGTAGTTCTTTGGGGCTAGATATGATGGGGCGGGCTGTCGACCTCCGATTTTATAAATCGGAAATCTTATGTGTTTATCAGTACCAATCCCTGAATCAGTAGTTGGTACACACATACATAGCCGAATCACAACATATCACGAATGAATCCAGGCTAAGAGAGTTAAATGCTTACATTAGGGCCAGGTAGGCCAACAACTATCAGAGAACAACAGCGGAAAACAAAATAATATCTAGCCCGAGACCTAGAATGGAACCGCACTCCGATCAGCTTGTTAGGTACGCAAGCGTACTAACAAGGGCTTCTCTTCAACACTTTGCTAAAAGATATATATAGAGCAACAATGAGTACAAAAGTACTCAGCAAGCCACCACACAAAATGCAGTAATGTATAGGATAATACAACGAGTGGCTATGGTTACTTTGCGTAAAGCTGAGTTTTCAAATATCATTTCACAAACCTAAGACCTAGCATAAACTAATCATGTTTTAATTCCATTGTTCATTAAACAGCGACGGTTGTGTCCACTATCCATTGTGTTCCCAAGGATAGCTTCCTGCCACTGGTCGTCATGGTTTTCTGGGGTCTACCCCTTCTCGCCTCTCGAGAAGTTGATCTACCAGTACAAAATCATCATGCAACATTCCACCCAATCAGATTAAGAAATTAGAGTCTAGCCAAGTGTAATATATGTCCCGGTGCTCAATAACCACGAGCACGACTATTCGAATAGATTTGGTTTACTCACACTACAGTGGATGTACACTTTACCCGTACTCCGCGACTTGCCCAACACATGAGCCTACGTCCCAACGAATGAGACTTGCCACGGCAAAGCCTTTCAATAACCCCACTTTGGCAGTACCCGCTCCATGAACTTTAGTCCTCATGCACTCTAGGCGTCCAAGGTTTCTAGCAGTGAGAGGAGTTCTGGCTCTCCCGGGAAGGGAAGACTCACACATGCATTAAGTTATAGTTAAGTTTAGGTTTACACATGGCAGTCCTACCGATGGTGACACCACTGTAGGCACTCGCCCCTCGTGGTCCTACCAATGGCTGCCCCACCATAGGCCTTGCCTCACACACATCAAGAAAACCACTATGCAGGGATACTGCCTCCGCTCGGCTATTTACTCTGCTAAGTCTATACCCATACGAGAAGTACGGTTGTACTGGAGTCGTTTCATGCTTAGCTTCATGGCTCGGTCCTTAATTGACCAGGGACGGCACTAGCCTTTACCGGACACCACCCAAATCCTCCAGCCGCCCTAGTCGAAAACATTTGTTTAGTTTTTAACTTTCTTTCACAAATCATCTCATCAATGTCATGGCAATATGGCGCTCATGTCTCCACATGCCGTATCTCAACTACCTTTCCCAAGGTAGTTGCCCAAGCATAAAGCATTTGATAAATATGAGAATGCATGAATCTAAATTAGCATTACTAAGCATTCGTCATAAGTGACTAGGGACTCATACGTAATTATGGGTACAAGGGAATAATGAGATAAGCAATAATCAAAGGCATGGCATAATAACAAGTAGGATATTCATCACTGCATGCAATTTTATTTGTAAACAAAACAATTTCACAATTGGGATCAACATGCTCAAGGAATGGGGTGATGACTTGCCTGCTCAGGATAGTTCTTATTCTTGATATAATCTTGATCAATCTTCACCTCCTGGAAGCTGCATACGCTGCCTCACGACTAACCGATATACAAATTCTATAATACGCGAGAAAAACCAATATTCAAACAACAATCAAATGTGCACAAGCAAAATATAATGATGGTGTCGAACCTAGGGTTGCTCATACTATTCCGGCTTGCTAATGGATTCTAATCATGCTAAGGGCCAAGATTCTTAGTCTTTTATATTGTCATGATGGCTCTATTGGTACTAACTAGCACAATATATGATATACACATTTTGCTAATATGTGGTTTAGTCAAGCTACAAGGTTATGGGAGGGTTATACGACTACGCATACATCTATAAATGGTCTTATACTAAGGGTTCTGTTGTTGGATGGATTTAGGGTCAAACAAATAATTACATCGATTAATTTATATTATCATTTTTTCCAATGAGGCATTATTTTAATTATGATCATATTTTACTTGTCATTATAAATTATAAAAGGCTTAATAATTATCCATGCTCTATATGTTAGATCTGTGAGGTTATAGGTACAGATTATTTGTAATTGTGGTCCCGTAATGATCAATTACAGGAGGTCGAAATTTATAATTAGTGTTTATCTAATATACATATTTGTCATATACTCCCCAGTTTAATGTATGGAAAAGGTAAATCAATAGCATAGCTATAATGGAATGTACATTATATGTGTGTGCAACAACATATATGGTTTTGGTCGCCTACTGTACATGAGCCATTTAGAAAGGGGTAATTTGGAACCATGCCATTATAATTTTGCAAAGTTTGAGATATGCCATCGGTATCTCAATGACATGTAGGACCCACATGAGTCAATGACATGTAGGTCAGGATGGCATATCTCAAACTTTGCAAAATTATAATGGCATGGTTCTAATTTTCACTTTAGAAGGTGTACTACCCAATGCTCCAAGTGATTCCTGAATATATTATAGTTAAATTATACATTAGCTAGTTTCTATGAGTGATATTATATATGTGATGGGCAAGTTTAAGCACTGGATTTGTTGGGTTACTAATAAGTGGTAACCAGTTTAGGTATATACGTGCTATTCTATATGGTATTGCATTGATTAAATTATTTGGTGATTCCTCCACATCTAGCTATGTTATTATTCTCATAAACAAGTTAAAGATTTATCTATGAGTATTAATATTTTAGTTACAAAATATGAGGCTAAACTTGATTTAACTAACCTATAAGTCATGGGTTTAATTATATGGCCATCGAATATTAAATAAGTACTAGTATTTTCCTATACATCCATTCATTTGAGACATCACTTATACTTAGTTTATGTGGTTGCTACAGTGACAAAACATGTTAAATATATTTATTTGACATCTACTCTACTGTACAATATCAATTTTATTTATTAGCACATTTTTAAGTTGACCATAATCTAATCATTTGATATTAATATATTTTATTAAATAGTGAGTTATATACCATTGGAAAGCTTATGAATTTAGATGAATTTAGGTTCAAGTTTCACTCGAATCGGAGCTAAAATGAATAAGTTATGCTAGTTTAAAGATTCAAATTTGAGTTAATCCGAGAAATTGTAAAAATGCACTGTTCATAAATGATTTATTTTTAATCGGAAACATTATCCAAAACCCACTGTGGTTGACATGTGGGACCGGCCCTGGTTGACTTAGGGTCAAACCTTCTTGTTTAATTACCAGTGGGTCCCGCCTGTCATAGGAATAAAATATATAATTGTGTTTTCTTACATTTTAACTATAGGGACCCCACCTGCCATTGAGTGGGCTAATCACCGTTAGGGATAGGATTACTGTGCGCTAATCACATGTGGGTCCCACACGGTTTCTCTCTCTCCTCATCTTCTTCTTCCTCTCGCCTGTTACCGAGCGAGGCAGAGGCGCGGCTCAGCGCAGCCGGCGTGGCCGGCCCGATCCGGGACGGCGGCGGGCGGCTCGGAGACGGCCGGGGTGAGGCGCGGAGGAGCTCCGGCGATCTCCCGCCGATGGCAGCCGGCGCGCGAGGAGACGGGGGCGTGCGGCGCCATCAGGCGACGCCATGCCCGAGCTCGGCTACAAGGGGCTTCGATGCTAGGGACATCCTCCGGCCGAATTGAAGGGTGAGGGAGCATCTACGGGGTATGGGGATTCGATTTCACGAACTATATGGAGAGGGGAGCTCCCGGGATAGCCTACCCACGGAGAGCTCGCCGGCGACGAAACGGCGGCCGGGGCGGCACGGCCATGGGCGCTAATCGCCGATTTTAGAGCCGGCGCTAGCAATTAGATGTATGGAGGACGCTACGGGCGCGAGGGTGTACCGCGAGACGGCGAGATGGCGAAACGCGGCGAAGTGGAGCTCGACGCGGTGCAGGACAGGGGCAAACGACGGCGACGTAAGGTGCTTGACAACGTTTCTTGATGTCCAGCGGCTACCCGGCTTCCCCCATGGCGACGGCGGCAGCACGGCTCTTCCTCCACTCCCTCCAACCTCCAGCTCCGGCCGGGGAGCCTCACAATGGTGATCTCTAGCGGTGGTGAGAGGGTGATCGCAAGGTGTTCGATGAAATGCATACGAGAAGAAGGCTGAGAGGGATGAGGATTTTGTTGAGGGCTTCGCTTAGGATGCAAGCAAACTATGGGGATAAGATCACCAGCACATGCCTAGGCGAGCTGGAGTACTAATGGTGATCGGATAAGAGCAATGAGGTGGATGACGCGGATAAGGTTTGATCTCCTCCTCCATTAAGGTTATGTGGCTCCATCATCGTACCTAAAGCCTAAAGTCTGTGCGTTCTAACTCTAGCTGTGGCAGGAGGCTCCGTTTTATTCATTGGGCGCGAATGGGGGCGACGGAACGCGCGCACATGGGAGCTGTGGCGGAGCGGCGGCTTGCTGGGGCGGTTTTCCCGTCCTAAGGTAGTTGGCTAGGGCTAGGGATGACGCGGATTGGCGTTCTGGCCGTTATCCATCGGTGGCGAGGTGATGGGTGATGGCGATGGCGACGGCGCGACAAGACGCGAGGCGCCATGTTTCCTGGAGGGAATCCGGACGCGCTGGCGGGGAGGCGGCTAGGTTTGGCGCGGTTCTGGTGCGGCACGGAGGGGATGGCGCACCGGCACGGACACGATGCGGTGCACGGGGGCGACACGAGATGCGGAGATGGCGCGATTGATCACGTGCGCGGCTCAGTAGTGACCGGGAAGGAGCGGACTCGCAGCATGTGAGCGGCTTGGGCCCAGATCGAACGGTTCATGGGCGATGAACAGTGCCGACTGAAAAAGAAAAGGAATGGGGGAAAAGGAAAAAGAGAAAGGGGGAAGGGCTAATCTGCAAAAGTGAATGGGATTGGATTTGAAATGAAATGAAATCTATACATTCTGGTTTTGAGAATTCAAATGTTTGATTTGAATATTTATTTAGTTATTCATTAGTTCCCAAATGAGTTTGCTTTCCATTAGATTATCCAAAAATTATCCAATTCAACTTCTAGGCTTTGATATTTCTTAAAAACTAATTAAATATTCTATTGTGACATTTAATAATACAATAGCACATTGGTCGAATTTATTTGTATAGCAATATATTTTACATACATAGGTTTAATTTATTTAAGTTTTATTCTATGAAGGTATTATGAGATTTGGTGCAATATTGGTCTTAAACATTGAATCGAATACTCCCATAAGCTCTTTTTTATATATAGAACTCAATTTATTTACATGACAAATTATTTTACATGAGTGAATCTATCCCCTGAGAGACTTGATGAACATTGTAAATATTAATTTAATTATTCCAGTGCAACACTCCTTTATATATAGGGTCGTCATAGTGGCGATTATTTCATGGTTACTTAGATGTCATGACACCTGTCACATGGTTCCAATATTTAATATTTGGCCTATAAATTAAATTAGTAATTAACCTTCTCTTTGTATGGCTTTGTTGTGTTGTGCGTAAATATTTATAGGGTTCACAATAAATATCTTATTTTTATAATTATTAATCAGTTGTATAGCTTTAGCTTAATTTTCAGTGGTGACAATTTATAGTTTGACAAGCAATACCAACCATAACATCCAGCATGATGCAAAAGTTTTAAAAAGTTCAAAATTTTAGTGATTTTTATTGTCGGGGATTTTCAGGATGTTACACGGGCCAAGTGCCCTAGACTCATCCAACTTACTTCTATTATAAGAAAGGAATTAGAGATAAGGCAATGGATCTTATCTCATGTAAATAGGAGGCATGTACCGGATTATAAGAGATATCACGCATGTCTTAGCTGGCTCCCTGATGACTATATAAGGGGGTCGGCTAACCCTAATTCGGGTGATCGCTACAAGCTACTCTCAACGTCGTATTGCGAAATTCTGCACAGATCCAATCTCATACGACTGAACTAGGGTATTACCTCTCTTCGAGTGCCTGAACTAGCATAATCACTGTGTCACCATCTTTCCTACGTCTAGTGCACCCGATAAATATTATTGCCGATCTAGAAAATCGACATATCTCTTGTTACATGTTGTAATGGTCTTTTAGGCTTCTTTGGCAAATGGGATCGGGAAATGATATCCCATCCATCGAAGGGTAATATCGTATCCTAGCCATCTATTCTTCTCATCTATATCTTCACATCTCATTTAGTCCTAGCCATTCATCCATTTCCCTTTGACAATCCTGAATCTCATAACACATTTGCAACAGGTTCTTTGATTTAGGCTTTTTTCTGTGTTTTATCGGTGACATAAGGCCCAATAGCCCAGTGCCGCGACTGACCGCAATGTTGGGCCATCCCACACGGCCCAGCCCGCTTCCTCCAACCCAAAACCGATCGTACCACCGACCCACGCGTCGCAGGTACAGCGCTCAGCCCGTCGCTGTCCTTTATTTATTTCCCTTTCACGCACTCCCACGCGGCCACGCACCGCGCAACGCTCCGCCCCAAAAGGCCAGACAACGCCCGTTGCGCCGCCTCCCAAACTCCGCCTCCTCCTCCTCCGCTGCACCCCCGCAAAAACCCTAGCGCACCGACTTCGCGATCTCCGCGCCGCAGCCATGAAGGGCAAGGCCGACGCCTCCAAGAAGGGCGAGGGCAGGTAAGATCCTCTCTCCGGCCGTCTTTGCTGCTGCGTATGGGCGGTGGAGGAGGGTTTTCTGGCGGTGGCTGTTGTTGGTTCACATCTGAGCGGTTTTGTGTTTGGTGTTGTTGTTGTTGTTGTTGTTAGGCTCAAGGCCGCCGGCGGCGCCGGGAAGCGGAAGAAGGCCGCCGCTAGCGGCAAGCCGAAGCGCCCGCCGTCTGCTTTCTTCGTCTTCATGTGAGTTTCTCGCTCCCTCGCCCACGTTTTGCTCTGTTCAGATCTAGTACAGATCTGTCTTGAGTTTTTGTTTAATTTTTGTTGATTTTCTTGAATTTTAATATTTTTTGTGGTTTTTATTTTTTACTTTTGCAGGTCTGAGTTCAGGCAGGAGTACCAGGCAGCGCATCCTGACAACAAGAGTGTCGCCGCCGTGAGCTTCCTGACACCATCATCTTTTTCGCCACTTTTTGGCTGATGTACTTTAGATGTCCAATTTTTTTCTCCTCTGTTGGTTCATTAGGTGAGCAAGGCTGCAGGGGAGAAGTGGCGAGCTATGTCTGAGCAAGTGAGTTTTTCTCTGCAGTGTTCAAAAATTAGTACATGTTCCTATTAAGTGTGTGCATCTGTTATTTAGCATACATCATCCATGAGTATCACTAGAGGACTGTTTAATAATTGTTCTGGCCTGTTTGTTAGGAAAAAGATTGAATTGCTCCTAAAGTACTAGTTGAATGAAAATTGCAATTTGTTTTTGAATTCTACTCAGTGAAGCGCTTAAGTACACATAAGTACCATGGGTGGCTATTGATGTGACAATGTGCCATATGTTTTTGGCCCTTCGTGTTAAATTTTATTAGGAGAAGGCACCTTATGTGGACAAGGCTGGCCAAAAGAAGCAGGACTACGAGAAGACCAAGGCCAACTTCGATAAGAAGGTGATGATAGAATAATTGTGCATCCTAATTATAGAGCCCTTCAAGCGTTAGGCACTAATTGGACTTCTTGAATTACTTCTTCAGGAGAGCACAAGCTCAAAGAAAGCTAAGACCCATGATGATGGAGAAGGCTCTGACAAGTCCAAGTCTGAGGTCGACGATGACCAGGATGGTGGTAGCGATGAGGTAATCATTAAAGGAACACCCGGTGCCCTATTTTAGCTTGAATGCCCAATGAATTTTTACTACTGCTAGTTGTGTTGCTAATGAACATTTTTAATTTGCTCTTTGCAGGAAAATGAGGACGATGAAGAGTAAATAGTGTATCCGGGGGCATGAGGTAGCAAACTGTGTCTTAGGTCCCCTATTAGCTTTACTAGTTTGCTATCTTCGACCCTAAGATGTTGGGAATAGGCGTGCGTGGGTGTGAAGGGGGACCGTTTAGAATTATGGTACTCAGAATGTTTTCCTACAGTGGATTAGCAAAGAAAAAGCCTGAATGCCGCCTGCTGTTCTGTTGCTTTTCTTTTGCTAACCACTTGTCACAGAACTTTGTTTCATTTGCTAATCTAGTAGCAATTCAGTTAGCTTTCTTTTCGTTAATTTCGTTAATTGCATATTACATTTGGTGTTATACACTTGTTTCGATGCATTTGGTTTACCTAGCTTAACACACATGGTGAATCCCTCCCATTGCTTTCTGCTTTCGTTAGATGCCTGCTGAAGCTACTTCATAGTGGATGGAATTATATTGTTCGTTGAGTCGGTAGGCTTCTGTGATGGTACTCAATTGTCATTGCCCGCTCTTATGCTGTTCCATCTAATTGTGATCTAAGATTTCGTATCAAATTAAGTAAGTTCAGACCGAAGATATGTAAGTACTGAACTCGTTTTGGATATTGATGATTTAGTTTTCTATAAACAAGGCATTGTAGGCTTGTTGTAGCTTTATACGGTTCCCTTTGCTTTGACTTTTCAACTTCGAGGATTCCAGCAAATGCTGTTAATAGTAGCATAAACCGTGTCGACCATCTGCTGGTGCTCCCCGATTCTGACAGAATATTTTCCCCTTTCTAACAAGTAAAAACAAAAGAACTGAACCTTTATACCATTCGTACCATGAGAGAACATGGATGCCTATAATTTTTTTTACATTTTTTTTTAAAAAATCAACTTGTACAAATAATTCCGTATAAACACTTATCTAGATTTATTCTGATTTTTTTTATGGACGGAGGATTACCTCCCATCACTCCCCATCTCCAACAGCACACATGCCAAACTATCCCTCTCGTTGGCAACATTGTCTTCCCGCATTCATCCACCACTGCGGTACTCCCTCTATCAACATTGTCTTCCCGCCTTTATCCACCACTATTAACATTGTCTTCCCGCCTTTATGCACCACTGCGGTACTCCCTCTGTCTCATAACATAGCAATCTAGGACTGTATTTGATATTTCATAGTACAACAAATCTGGACACACCCCTACTCAGATTCGTTGCACTATAAAATATCCCATCCAATCATAGATCACACCCCTACTCAGATTCGTTGCACTATAAAATATCCCATCCAATCATAGATTACTATATTATAGGACAGAGGGAGGACCTCTTACCTCCGCGTTGTTGTGCGGCAACAATCCCCACAACGATGAACTGCTACTTCGGTTAGTGCGACGGCACCACACCGGACACCACCACAACGACGGCACCACCTCGTCCTTGCCATGCATTGGCATGAGCTCGGCAGTGGCGACGAAGGATGCACACCAGTAACCATCCTCATCATCGTTGATGGAGGCGAGGGTGTCAGGGTGAGCGAACAGGCTGAGAAGCTAGACGACGGAGGCAACTACAGCTAGCACACCATAGTGACGGACTCACAATTGCCGAGTCGGAACTTGATAGTGCACTCCCTGTCACTACAAACACGGAGCATGTCGAAGGAGGAGAGGACGAGCGAGATCAACATCAAGTCGTTGGTGATTCACATTGGGAGGGAAAACGTCCCTACGGTTAATACGCCTACCCGGTGGCCGGTACACGCCCATCTGCTTCCTGTTCACACGATCATTGGAGGCAAGGCAAGACGATTACGAGTGACGTGGAGCTGTGACTACTACAGCAAATACCCAATAAAGGCAGCGAGCTTGGATTAATTGAATAGCACGGAACGAAAGAATTCACATCTCCGGTGGCTAATTTAAAAAAACACACGGATTGAATGGTAAATTTTTGAAGGTCCAGCGTATTAGGTGAGTGAGTGAAATTTCTCGCTGCCGGATACTCAGGTACTCAGGTCAGCCACCCAGCCAGGTATTCAGGTCCAACCTGCTTCCGTGACACAAGTCGAAACCTAACGCGACGCACGGTTCGCCCCGCGCCGCAGCGCTGCTCACGCGCATACGCATTCCCCCTCTCCTCTCCTTTATAAATCCCCCGCGCGCCGGCGGCCGGCCGGTGACCACCAACCACTCTACCACAACCATTACGCTATCCGCCACGAGCAAGCGAGCGAGAGCGAGGCAAAGCAAGAAGGCGACCTCACCAAATAATCCCCCACCACCACAAGAAGCAGGGGCGCGCCATGGCGAGAGCCGCTACCGTGGCGGCGGCGTCGTCCGCGCTGCTGCTGGCGCTGCTCCTGGCGCTGGCGTGGGGAGCCGCGGCGGGGGCGGGGGAGGTGCCGCTCGGCTGGGAGCTCGGGGTCGGCGTCGGCGGCGGCAGCGGCGACGACGACGGCTTCGGGTTCTCCGGGGCGGCGGCTGACGGCGCCGCGGTGGTGAGGCGGGTCCTGCAGGGGCGGGGCTACATCAGCTACGGCGCGCTGCGGCGCGACACGACGCCCTGCTCCGTCCGCGGCGCCTCCTACTACAACTGCCGCCCCGGCGGCCAGGCCAACCCCTACTCCCGCGGCTGCTCCGCCATCACCCGCTGCCGCGGCTGACCGGCCTCCACCACCACCAACCCGCTGTTCGAACTGGATTCAAAGTTCGTTCGTTGCTCCTCTCCGTCTACTCGCTAGTTCGTCTTCTTCATTTTTTTCTCCCCTTCCTTACTCTTTTTTTTTCTCCGCCCTGTTTTAACCGTGAAAGAAGAAGCACAATTGGTCTGGATCGGTGCCCAGGAATCGAATCGAGTGAATAAGATTTGTGTCACTCCAGTCCTGTATGTGGATTCTAATAATATTAATAATCAAGTTGTGTATAAACTGGTGGATAGATTTATCGTTCAAGGATGAGTGCTGCTACTGATGACAACCCGGTGAGCAAATTCGCTCAATTGCAGCAATCGCCCTTCTCCAAACACGGGTTTCCTTAACATTAAAATGTTATCAAATGGAATGGATTAAGAGAAGCAGAGGTTGGCTAAGCCAACCAAATTGTTTACTAAATCCACACCAGCTGGCCTGATTAGTCGGAATGGTCAGCAGCTGATGGCGCCGTTGGGACTTCAGGAATCAGAACCTGCTTTTCTGCATACCCAACCCACAAAACGGTTAGCCACCGACACTGCGCTCCACCTCATGTTCACTGGTCTGTGCTTAATGATGATTAGCACCAGAACTGCTGCTACTATTCGAACTTTCGAAAGAGGGAAAGCGAAAGTAGCGTACACACGTTTATGACTCCATTGAAACAAAGGGTTCTTGGAGGAATATAATCCTATGAATTCTTTTATTGCTCCAAATACAGAGATTTAAGAGTAATTTTAACATAAGGTCCAACCTATTGGAAACATTCTGTGTGTCTATCTTTCTTCTGTTTCGTGTGGTTTCTTGCGTTTCATCCAAACGATTATTTCTATAGATTACCTATGTTTCTCGATCAATATGATTTGAGATGCTGAGATGTTTGGTTGATGACCAATTTTTATATGTGTTTTGAATCTTACTCCCTTTATCCCAAAATATAACAACTTTTAACTTTTAAAATTTATTTTAAAATGTAACAACTTCTTCATCTACATTCTCTTCTTAACAAAATATAACATTCCACCATTTAAATTTAAATTCCTACTTGACTAGGAAAAGTACCTGTCACACAACAATGTTGTCAGCAAATTAGCAAGCCAGCACTCAGTTCGGTTCGTTATTATTACTACAACGACACTTAGGATATCTGCATATACATATAGTGCGTACTTTAGATCGTCATGATGGTGCATGAAACCATTTTCGTTAGGTTAGAGCGGGTAGCACAGTGGCGTAGGTTTTGATGCATGAGAAATTGAGATTTGAGGAACCTCTCTCGTTGAGTCATTTTCTGCCTTGGCAGCGAACGGGGTTCGGTTTGCTGTGTTGGGTGCGACGTCGCTTTCATAGCTCGCATATGCAAGATCCTTTGTCTTGCTCGCCTTGGAACATGGGGCTTTTTTCTTCCCGTGGTTGGGTGTTGAGGACTTCTTCGTCCGTGGCTGTCCGTCTCTTCCTCCTAACGATCGATCAATCGCCTTCTCCACCAGCCACGCAAATTCAGTTCAAATTCTTATCCTGGAATGATATTGCCAAGTAGCGAACTGTGAGCATCATCTTGGTGATGGAGACGGTTCGAAGAATGTATGAGAGGCTTTTAACAACTATAGGGTGAAGCAGTCACCCTGCTACGCATTTAGAATTGAAGGGTTTTTTTTGGTTGTGTGTGTGGTGTTAAATGGATCTCCCTGGTGAAGCAGTCACCCTGCTACGCATTTAGAATTGAAGGGTTTTTTTGGTTGTGTGTGTGGTGTTAAATGGATCTCCCTCCCCTTGAGCCATTGGGCTCAAGGGGGCCTTGACCCGCGCTCTGATTGGGGGCGCCCAGCCCAATAGCTGGTGGGCCCCCGTCACCCTGTGCCATATAAAGAGGGGTGGAGGACGGGACGGCACAAGACACAAGGTTCGTCGCCGCCGCCACTCCACCCCACAAACCCTAACCGATCGAGGGGGCGCAGCCAGTGACGGGAAGTCCACCGCCACGCCACGCCTCGTCGTCGACACCGCCGCTGCATCACCGCCATCGGCACCGAGTTCACCGTCACCGCCGTCCACATCAAGCGCGCAACGACGACGACGATGGCCGGCCGCACTTCCTCCTCCTCAACAACGACTGGTCACATCCCTAAACCCTCTCACTCCCTCTTTGTTAATTCATCTATTGCTGTTCATCCATCCAAAGTGTTCTACCTGACTAGATCTAAACCTAGGTGATCCAACAGAGAACACTAACATGTGGAGCTACCAATGTTTAGGATATCGGATTGGCTGGATAGAATCAACAGGTACCACATACAGTACATCTGTATGCTCATAGAGTTGATATTTTTTTTTTCAACATAAATTAAGCTTTAATTGATCTTCTCTGTTCTAGAATATAGCTATTTAGCTGCCTACTTAGATAATTATATCACGATAATTCAATTACTCTAAAACCACTCACATTCTTCACATAGTTATTCTATAGCCTATAATTATTTTTAAAAACTAAAAAAATGATATAACAACAAGCCGTGGCAAACTACAGGCACAAGTGTTCTTCATCCTTAATCTCGACCAAAGCAACACTTAGACTATAATGAAGGCTTTCCGTAAGCAATATGTAGCGCCCGTTCCGTCGTGGCGCCTAGCGGGAAAATTATCTCTTAAAAACCCTAATTGCGAAATTTGTTTCTTTGCTTGTTGTCTAGTGTCCGTGCCATCTCAAGATCTCAATCCCCGATCTATCGTCGAGTTCAAATCCGAATCCAAATCCTTCCAAATCAAATTCCTCCGCAAAAGTCTATTTTGCCTCCCCCGGGTCGAAGGGCCGAATCTCGCTCGGCCCATCTCCCTCTCTCCCTCTCCCGGGCGCTCCCTCTCTCTCTCTCTCGCCCTCTCCCCTCCCCAGCGCGCTCCGCTTTCCCCCACGCTCAGCTCCGCTCCGCCTCGCCCGCGCGCCGCGCGCGCGTGCGCGAGAGCCGCGCCGAGTGCTCCTCCTCCTCCGCTCCGCCCGCGCGCGTGCGCGTGAGCCGCCGCGCCGAGCGCCCCCTTCCCTTCTCCTCGCTCTGCCGCGCCTGCGTAAGCCGCCCGCGCCGAGCCAAGTCCTCCCTCTCCGCTCCCTCGCTGCCGCTTCCCGCACGCCGTGTTCGCGTGCGCGCGCCCGCGCGGACGCCGCCCGTTGCAAGCCACGCGCGCGTGCTGAGTGGCCGACCGCCCGGTCGCCGCCGCCGTCAGCCTCTGCACGCGTCTGTCGCCCGTGTCGTCGCGCCGCTCCAAATCGCCCGCCGTCATCGCCGTCGTCACCGCCCGGCCCCCGCCACTCCGCGCGCAAGCCGCCAAGGGACGGAGGCAGCGCCCCTCCTCCCTCTGCCGCGTCGCCCCCGCTCCCCTCCTCCTTTTTCCCGAATCGGCAAAAGGGCAAGCCCCTTTCTCCCCCTCCTTTTTCCCCTTTTTCCCCCGCCGGCGTCATCCTCCCTGTCGCCGCTTTGGCCGCGACCGCCGAGCGCCAGCTCGCGCCTTGACCGCCCTAAGTCGGTTCCCAAACCGACATTGCCGCCCCCTTTAAACCCCAGTTCCTTCCCCTCCAATCTCCCTCGTTTTCGCCTCCTCGCCATAGCTGCCGTCCCCGTGCTCTGTTCGCCGTCGCCGTTCGTTGTTGCGCGTGTCGAAGGAGTCGGCACGAGCAAGGACGCGGAAGGGGACTTCGGCCGCGCCCTCTCCTTCCTCTTCCCCGGCCCGAGGCCGGAGAGATTACTCCCGCGCCGTCGGCCTCTCGTCACAGCGCCCCTCCTCATCTCGATGATGCCTCCCTCCGTTCTTCCTCCTCGCCCCATCTCCTCCCCCTAGCTTTTGGTAGTAGCTCGAGTAGACTCCCCGTAGCTAGCCGGCGCCGCCCCGACCGTTGCCGTCGCTCGCCGCGTGCTCGCCGCCGTCGCCGCTCGAGCTCCGTAGCACCCGCACGTCGCCAGCCTCGCTCGGCGTAGCTCCGTCCAATCCGACGCTAGCATCAGATTCCCGTGGTCGCGTGGATGCTCTCACCGCCGGGAATCGGTCCCTCGTGACCTCGTCGGCGTTTCCCTCTTCCCTCCCTGCCGGTTGTCGCCGCCGCGATTCGCCGCTGTCGAACTCCCTCTGGCGAATCCGAGCCGTTGGCTCGTCTCCCCTCATCACGAACAATCGCCCGGTGTGCTAGCTTTTGCCCGTATCGCCGTGGTTCGCTCCGCCGCTCGCCGCCGCCGCCCGCCGTCCATTCGCGGCCGGGTCGTCGTCTACCTCCCACCGGCCCGCGTGGCAGCCACGTAGGCGCCACGTCGGCGCCAGCTCAGCCTAGACCGGGTCGAGCCGACCCCGGTCAGTCCCTCCCCGTGCGCGCATTCCACCGCGAGCCGTAAGGCTGCGCGTGGGCCCGCCGCATCCGCGTCCACCGTGAACCGCGCGCGTGCACCGCGTCCCTCCCCCGCCCGCGCGCATGAGCCGCATACTCCCTCCGCACGGTGAGCCGAGCCGCTGACAAGCGGGTCCCACCCGGGACCACGCATGGTGAGCCCGGTCCACCGGCTCTCTCTCTCCTCCCTCCCGCGCGCGCGCGTCTTGGGCCGCCTTGGGCCACCTTCTTGGGCCGGCCGGCCCGTTAAGCTCGGCCGAGCCGCCCTTTCTCTCGGGCCGCGCCCTAGCCGCCCGAGGGAAGTCTATATTCCCTCCCTCTCCCTTTTTCTTTTCTTTTCTTTTCCAAAAAGGATTTAATTAAATCCTTTTTCTTTAGACCAAAAATCCAATAATCTTAGAAATTCAATATCTTCCCAACCGTAAATCCGTTTGACTCCGTTCAAATTCCAAAATTTCTCAAATCTCGAGATCTATCTAATGGCACGCTTAGAGGTCATTAATAGAGCTTTATTTTCGCCGTTTGTTGAGTTGTCCCGTTTTGCGTATAGTTTCGGAGCCCGAAGACCCGCAGTGCGAGGATTTCGAGGATCAAGCTCCAGATCTCGAGCAAGGCAAGCCACCTTTGAACATCTTGAGCCTATATTTGAAATCTAATTATATTGCTTGCAAAATATTATGCATTGATAGGATTGCACTTAATCTGTTGTTCTGTCTGCAAGGCAGATTGGCAGACCTACCTAACTTGTTGCATTTGATCCTTCCATTGTTAATTGCTATACAATGTCCCCTTGTAACCATCCAGTTGCGCCTCGATATTCGTGCACCCTGTGCCAGTATCGACGGTCGCCTTCAAACTTAAAATCTGAGTAACAACTTGGGTAAAACTGGAGTTTTACAAAAGACTTGGAAAACCCGACACCTGGGTCGGTGCTTGCGAACTAAATGAATTTCCAAAACCGCGGACCGGGAAACGTACCGGGTGTACGGTTTCCCGCTCTCGCACTTAAGGACCGATTCCTTGGAATTTCATCCAAACATAAGTCAAGTACGACCACATGGGTGGAATGGGACACCCCTGGCTGAGTAACTAGCTTATCAGGGGAGCCTTGATGCCGAGAGACATGTGGATTCGCCGGGGTAGTGTCGGGGAGGACCCCTGGGCTTCCTGGCGCAGTATGGTCTGGGACCTAACCTGTTGTTGGTCTGGGACCCCTCTCGTCGGCATATGGTAAACCTGTGTCGGCTTTGGAAATGCCTTGTCATGAAAGCTTGGAGGTCTCCCGACGTGGCTGATCCCCACGGGCTGGGTGATCCGAGTTAGTAATGTCGTGTGGGTAAAGTGTACCCCCTCTGCAGAGGTTAACAAACTGTTCGAACAGCCGTGCCCACGGTCATGGGCGGATGTGAGGTGATTCCTAGCGTAGTTTGGTTTGACTACTGCTTGTGAAATTGCTGTGTGAAAAGGGGGGTTCGGTGTTTGAAAAATCTGCAGCTGATGAGATCAGCTAGGCCCGGATGGCCGTTTGAAAAGTTGTTGGCCCGGGTGGCCGTTTGAAAAGTTGTTGGCCCGGGTGGCCGTAGAAAAAGCTGTTGGCCGGGTGCCAACCTTGTTTAAATTCTAAAGACTGATACATTGCACATACTCCGACCGGACGAGACGCACTGTCTCATCCGTGTCGTTTGAGAAGCACTCACTTAGTTGTTTCAGAAAAGAGTTCAAATAAAATTAATTGCAAAAACACCAGCCTTTCCTTGAAGCCTGCATTAAACACTTACTTCCCATGGCTTGCTGAGTACTCCCGTACTCACCCTTGCTCTATATAAATAATCCCCCCCCAGTTGCTGAAGAAGATGAAGCGGATCCTGCTGATGAGGAGTTCTTCCAGGAGCAAGCCGGCTACGATGAGTTTTAGGGTTTCGGCCTAGTTCCCAAGTCGCGCCTGTGTTGATTGGTCCAAGTCCTGGCTTCCGCTTTCCTTTTGTAATGCAGTTGTGAGCTCGGGATCTGTCTGCAGCCCAACATGACTGTACATCTACTCTATAATAAAGAGACATCTGTTGCTGTGATATTCTGTCTCCCTGTGATACCAGCACTGTTTCCTGGGACTGATATCGATTAACAGGTTAATTTGGAGCGTCACGGGCTAGTTTCGGTCGGGACTAGTTCGGGGCGTGACACAATACCTTAAAAAAGTAACAAAGTGTACATGCGCCGTCATTGCCATGACACTATCAGTTAAGACCAAACTACAAGTTTTCACCGTGAGGAGTAATTCCAGACAATTCCTTCAATAAAAAAGCGAAAGATGCTATCGTTGGATACAACCAGCTAAAGGCTAGATCTAGGAATCGGTACTCGATAGGTACCGCCTAATTAAGTCACTTAGGACCGGTGCTCCCTCATTTTACCATGGGGAGTAAAGCCGATATACTTTTTTTAAGTCACTTAGGACCGGTGCTCCCTCATTTTACCATGGGGAGTAAAGCCGATATACTTTTTTCGGGTTGATAATACTTAGTCTTATACAAGTGCACGGTCTTAAAAAAATAAGTTTGACCATTGTTTTTTTATTATAATATGTATAAAAATATTAACAAATATATGATTTTATTAAAGTACTTTTTAAGACTAATCTATACATGTAGTCACCATATTTGAAAGACAAATATTTTAGAAATGATTCATAATTAAATATTCTAAAGTTTGACTTTACCTTTTTATAAAATGACAAGTATTATCAGTCCGGAGGGAGTATACTACTGTTAAGTCTGAATTTTGAATCCCGATGAGCCAAATACATGATCACACAACGCTTAGTTATCTCGTAGTGTTACATACCGGCATAATGTTTCTCCAAGGATATGATTTACTTCGGTTACATCTTGTAGGTAGGTTTGCCTCCACTAGAAAAACGTGCAGTGGGGCTGCCATCTCCCTGATTTATCGCTTCACGCCTTCACGTGCTATTTTGCTTTGTCATTTTCCTCAACAACATTTCAACCCTGTTCGACCCTGGAATGCACATTACATCATTTTATTTGTAAGATGAAAAAAAAATCGAGCTATCATAAAGAGAGTACTGTTCGACCCTGGAATGCACATTACATCATTTTATTTGTAAGATGAAAAAAAAATCGAGCTATCATAAAGAGAGTAAAATGCGCAGGGAGAAATAGCTTCTGTGAAAGGCAGAAAAAGCTTATACTTTCCCAGCAGATCTCAGGAAAGGACCATTGGTCAAAAATAAAGATTGGGTTCAAGACAAACGATTTCATGGTTTGCCAGATGATCAAGAGAAAAGATAATTGGTTTGTCACAAAACAAAAGCCATCATATCACAAAAAGTAAATTCCTCACTAAATGCATATAACCAACCTAAACTAATCAAAAGTATCCATACATACCTTTTAAGATAGTAGAGTAAAAAATTCTCCAGCATATGCATCAAGCAATGCATACGGCCCTAATAACTAGATATATTCTTTTAGATAATATTGTAAGTACATTATTTAGAGCAATCCTTCTCCTTGGATCTTAAGTTGGGCGATGAGAATATAGCAGATGACACTCGAGGTTGCTGACTACGTCACTGCGATCAAGCTCCTCAAGATCAAACATGTTCTTCTCTGTCCAGTCCCAAGAATCCCAGTCCCCAACTTGAAGAGTTGTTTATCTCCAATGTGGCAGCATTAGTACCTCCAATCTCCTCAATATTATCTTTAAGATTGAAGGAAATGTTTTTAAGGGCATAACAAAACCAGAATGGACTAACTTTATGGTGAACGGTAATAAATAAGTGATACATACGGCAAATGTATTCCTGGCTGCTGTTCTTTTTAAAGTTATACTTGCTGCACGTGGAGAACTGGCCATAGCGAAGGAACCATTGTGGTGTCTTCTCTCCCATTTCTTGAACCATTGCCCAATTGCTCTCGGCTAAGTAACCTGATAGCAAAGTGATGGCCTGAATGGTTGAATATTGGTGAGGAAGAAACACCAAACGATTAGCTGTCAGTTCAAGAAATCAATTGTGAAAAAACAAATGAGAGCTTGAATAAATTGTTAATGTAAATACCGATTCAGCTAAAAACTACGACCATGCACCCACTACCTGAACAATCTTCAATGATTTTGCTGCTTGCATGCAAGCATCAGTTCTCGATTCCAGTCAGGCATCTGTAAGTTGAAACTTTAATGTTTCAAGTGTGCGTCCAGGGAGAGAAAATACAATACTCCCTCCGTCTCCAATATAAGGGATTTTGACCAGATGTGACACATCCTAGTACTACGAATCTAGATAGGGTAGGATGTGTCATATCTAGCTAAAATCCCTTATATTTTGGGATGAGGGAGTAGAAGGGAATGGGCACCTTATATAGGATGAAGCATGTTGGATTACTTGTTCTTTTCCCTCCAATGCAAGGATTCTGAAATTTATGATGCAATTCCTTAATTTTGCAGCTGAGTGAACCGGTTTTTGTGCCCAGTCATTGCATGAAATTCAACTAAACCAAAAGTTCATACAAACTGATCTACCTGAATCCTGCTACACTCAATCACAAATTGACTGTGCGTTTAATCAATCCGATAAAATTAATCCAATGAATGAATCTAAATCAATGCTAGGGTTTCACCCCAATGCTCGAGTCAACTACGGAAATATCAAAATGAGGACAATCAAGGGAGAGTACCTTCCTAGACGATGTCCACACGTCCCACGGAAAAACCTTTGATTTCAGGCCAATTTGAGAAGGATTTGAGAGGAGAGAGATGCGAGATGGGCAGTTGTGCGCTTCTGTTCTTCATGCAAAGGGAGGAGTCCATTCCTGCAATTAGTTTGCTATTAGTTATCTCATGGGCCCATTTGTAAAGTAAGAAGTTAAAAAGGGTCATAATGTATAGTTTACACACTATAAAGAGTAGCATGCCGTCCGCAGGCTCTTCGCTAACACATGCCTTGCTCCATTAATTCAATGAAACTAGAACCAGGATGTTTCTTTAACCCACTTAAATTAGCTCTGGCCCTTGTATTGGTAAATTCATTCCACTGCCCTTCCTGAGCATACACTTCTGAAATCAGAGCATAAATACCTGGTTTCTGTGGTCCATGCTCAAGGAGCTCTTTGCTAATAGCAAGTGCCAGTTGTGTATTTCTATGCGTTCTGCAAGCAGAGATCAAAACACAAAATATAGTGGATTTATCCTTCAAGGTAGATAGCTTTATAAATTTGTATCCATCTTCCAGATGCCCAGCACGACCCAATAAATCAACCATGCAACCATAATGCTCTTCCTGTGGAAGAACTGAATATACTGAGGTCATGGAATTGAACATACGCCAACCATCCTTGACAAGACCAGCATGGCTGCAAGCAGTAAGCACAGTAGAGAATGTTAACTCATCAGGCTGAATGTTTTCTTCTTCCATTTGCTTAAACATTTCAAGCATATTAATATAGAATCCATGCATCGCATAAGCACTGATAATTGCATTCCAAGTATCCAAGTTTCTGTATTCCAAACTAAAGAACAAACCTACTGACAAATCCAGTCTTCCACATTTGGCATATGCACTTATCAATGAATTTGCAGTAATCTTATCTTTCTCTAACAGGGAACGGTAAACAAAACAATGGATTTGTTTTAGACCATTTAGATGGCCAAGCTCAGAGACAGCTTGAACAGCAGTTACAAGAGACATGGAATCAGGTTTCTCCCCATGTTTCTGCATCAAGTGAAATAATTGAACCACCTCATCTCCATGTCCATAGGGTAAGCAACCCTTCATCATGGCTGTCCATGAAACCAAGCTTTTCTGTTCCAGTAAATCAAATATAACCCTTGCTGCTGCAGGTTTTCCGCAAACTGAGTACATATAAAGAATATGATTTTCAACGTCACCATCCGAACAAAACCCATGCCTAATCCCAAATCCATGGATCCACCTCCCTCTCACTAAATCTCTTTGATCAGCAAAAGCAGCAAGCAGACTAAGAACAGTTGCAAAATCTGGAACAATACCTTCTGCCATCATGTAATTGAGTAAGGAGGTGGCCTCATTGGCCATGCCGTTATGTAGGTAACCGTACATCATTGCATTATAGGAGACTGCATCTTTAACAATCAGTTGATTAAAGAGATGTCTTGATATCGTGATTTTTTTGCATTTGGAGTACACCTTAACAAGAGCAGTCGCCAAAACAACATCCAGAGGTATATATCTTCTTATTAAGTAGGTATGAATACTAGCAGCATAGCCGAAATAGCATACCTCAACACAAGCAGAAATCACGTTTGCGAAGGTGACAGAATCTGGAGTTATTTTATGCTCATGCAGCATCACAGACAAATAGTGGATTGCATCAAAACTCTGTCCAGCTCTAGTAAGACCAGAAAGCATAGCATTCCATGAAGCTGCAGTTCCCTTTGAATTCTGTAAAGTAGCAACTGCTGATTGATAAGCTCCACATCGAGTATACAAGTTCACAATGCAGGTCTCTAGAATATAATCTGAGACAACAAGTGCTCTCCTTATGGAATAGCAATGGAGTGATTTGCCCTCTTTAAGTGCTCCCAAATTCCCAGCTATTTGCAGTAAGCTTATCATAGTCACACGGTTTACTTCCAAGTTGCCCTGCAGCATATCAATGGCAATATCAAATGCATTCCATGCAACTGAATCCACAATTTCTGAATAACCAGTGATCATCGAAGTGTAAGCAACAACGTCCTTGTCAATGATCTCTTTAAACACTCCCTGTGAATCGTCCATCCTATGAAGCTTGGAGTACAACACAATGAGGGAGGAACCGATGAATTTATCCCCAGACAGACCAAATTTAAGTGAATCCACATGCATTCCTTTACCCAAGTACAGATTCTCAAGCTCAGTGCAGCTTTTCAAAACAAAAGTAATAGTTTTCCCATCCAAACCAATCTGGTGTAATTTCAACCTTTTGTACAAGATAATAACTTCCTCTGGATAACCAGCTCTAAAATAATCAACCATGGTTGAATTCCACAGGGAAAGCTCATCATTTACAATTTTCTGGAAAACAAGTCTTGACTCAGACAGGGCCCCTAAATTAGCATAACAACTCACAATCTTAGAGCCAAGAATCACATCCCAGCACAATCCATGTGTGAAAACATGACAATGGATCTTCTTTAGAGACCTAATATCTGCACAGCCTTGGAACAATGGAGCAAACTTGTCAAAATTAAGTATCTTATTAGAGCATGAATTTGCATCGGCAGTGGATGCTGATAGTCTCCAACGCAGCTTCAGCACTGCAATTTTATCAAACTTTGAACTAGTGTTTCCAGCTAAATTCCCCTCAAAAGAATTGGTAGCATCATCATGGTTGTTGACGCAAGAAAAACAAAAATAGGTAACTAATTGACTCCGAATTCATAGACATACGATGACAGTTCAGTTAAATGAGCCTACAATATAATAGTCCCAAGCACACATGTGTGAGTCATGTGCAATGATTACATCATGTGTGCTTGGGACTATTATATTGTAGACTCATTTAACTGAACTGTCCAATTGTGGTTGGTGACATGGTTCAGGAGTCTAACGGTGTACCGGAAACAGATATAGTGTATATCTGGAAGTGGAGTCTATAAATAGGTCCCTACCCTCCAGCCTCATAATGCATTGTGAGCGGAACAACGGAAAAGGAATAGAGGGTAGGCCGGATAGACCCACGTAAACCTAACAATATTTGCTTTTCTTGCACCTCCAAGGATAGACTATTCAACTAAACCTGATCAACAGCGGAACACATACAATCAGTGTACTTTAGTACAACAGCACTAAACTTGATAGCAGATCACATTAAATTAAGCGATAATCCCAGTTATGGCATACACAGCAGAGGAGTGAAGCCACAATCTCTCCAGGACATTGCCACAGGTAATGAATATGAAATACTACCGCAATCTCGCCGGTGCTACCAAATAAACCACCACCTAATCAGAACAAATAGCCACATCATCAAGCAGTCATCATGTAAAAACGAGAAAATGGGAAAACTGACCACCAGCCGAAATCTTTTTCAGAGGTTCATTCCGTGAAAGAACCGGAGTAGGAGGAGGAGGCCTCGGGGTGGCCGCCGGCAAGCCGACCTCCGGAGGGACGGCGCCAGGAACAGTGGAGGAGGGGCGCGCGCGTGGGGGAGGCGCGGGTGGTGCGGCCGTGCGAGGGGGCGGCGCTGCCGCTGGCTAGTGGAGACATCGGAGTTCGGAGCGAGGAGAGGTGGCGTGGCGAGACGGTGGGGAATCGCGTGGGCCTTTGCGCGTCCCGGAGAAACGGCCGGGTCGAAAGCCCACACTACCATTCGGCTTGGGACTAGCTATCCATCACGCGACAGATTTTTTTTTTTCCGAATCACACAGATTTTATTTTTTTTTCAAATCACACAGATTTTAGATTAATTGAATTAAGCTCATTTGATCACTTGATTAGAAGAGTTATCAACATATATTGCATATATTTTATTTATTAGATCTTTATATTGTAAGAAAAAAATATCACCAACCCATCTACTAAAAGTTACACTGTGAAGTGTAACTATAGTGTAATTACAGTGTAACTATAGTGTAATTACGGTACACTTATATGCCATACCAAATAAACTTACAAATGTAATTTTAGTTATATAGGATTGTAATTTTATATTTTAAAGGAAATAAAAAATACATATTTACTTACGTAATATTTTTACCAAACCTACAGTGCACTTACATATCGTATCAACTGAATTTACGAATATAATTTTAGTTATATAGGAATGTAATTTTCTTTAATCTCTTTGCCTAGCCGCATCGACGTGCGATGCGTGTACTCATCAATTATGTGCCAAAGCTAGATGTTGCTGGCCTCATGCGTGCGTGGGAAGGAAAGGCATCACAGCCGCTAATTAAATCATACAGAGAATAATCCAAGGGAAGCAAATCCGAGTGATTTTGGGGCCGCCAGATGTTTAGCAAAATCGTTCGGCTTTGTTGGTTGCCTTGGTTTTCTGACTTTCTCATCGACACGATGTGATTCACGTTCAAGGGTAGCATGTACAACTACAAGCAAATGAGTTCTGTGCTAAGAGAGCTAATATGAACAATTAGTTCATCCCAGCTTCCGTAGCATAGTGGTAGTGCGTTCGCTTCGTAAGCGAAAGGTCGCGAGTTCGATCCTCGCCGGGAGCTTTATTCATATGCATGTTTTCCTTTTGCCGATCCATCATCACCGATCCATCGGCAGCAATGGCTATGATATGCATGTATGCTTTTGCCGATCCATCACTCCGTCCATCGGCAATGGCTAATGGTGCCGATCCATCACTCCGTCCATCGGGAAATGGCTATGGTATGCAGGTATGCAACGAGCTAGCCGACATGCATGTTTTCTATTTGCCGATCCATCACTCCATCCGTTCATCGGCAATGGCTAGCTATGATATGCAAGTATGCAACGAGCTAGCCGACATGCGAGCCAACGAGCACAAGTCGACTACCTCTACCTCTAGAAACGCCATTTTGCAGGAGGATAGCTACTGGCCAACGAACGCATGGACCACCTGCTGTATGACAGTATGATACTATCCCCGTCGCTCTCCGGCAAACTATTTTCCTCGGCAGACAGGATAGGTGCCTCCCAAATGCTAGCTTAACTAAATTTTGCGCATCCTTGGTGCCTGCTTGCTGGTCCTGCACCGTCGACCCCCCCGTGGCCCTCAAATTCGTCCTCTGAGCTCGTCTTGTAAAGCATCAGCGCGGAGAACGTATGGTCATGAATGAACCGACATGACCAGCAAATGGGATCGGGCAAAACGATACGGCCGTGTCCCATACTTGATGTGCAGATATTTTTGTGACGTAACTGCTCTCGGAGAGCAGGCTGATCGAGTGCTAACGTGTACCGATAAGATAGGTGCTGGACTAGGAACAAGATTGGATTGGAGAGCATTGGAGTAGAAACTCCCGTGCATCGGCCCTACGTACTTTTGTGTCAAATTTACGGTGTCGTAATTCAACTTTTCTCTTCCTTCTCTCATTTTTCTCCGTGGATGCGTCATTCGTGAAATGCTTATTGGCAATCGGTTGCTTTTTTTCTTTTTTCGTTTTCGCCTCCATGAGACTCTGACTGCAGGAACGCCGGATGCATGCACACTTCCTAGATATCAGCTGGTTATAATTTAGAAATTCTATGAATTGGAGACGAATCAATACTAGCGCTTTGAATAACTGTTCATTTTTTTCCCAAACTACACGTGAAAAATCTTAGCCATCTCGGAAAGGAAATACACAAACACGAGCAGGCTCCCATCGGATGCTCTAATTAGTCGAAGAAAAAAAAAGGCAAAATTTGAGTTTTGAAACTTAATTTGAGATTGATTTTAAGATATTTTTAACGTAGTTCCTTTTAAGCATTGGTTTTTAAGTCACAACGAACACATATATAAAAGTTTTACATATAAATTTATTTTTATTCCCTAATAAACCGTTTTGCTTACTAGGTAATACTCTCTCCTTTCCAAATTAATCATCATATAATATAATTTAAAATTTCTCAAATTGATCATTATATAACCGCATGTACACGGATTTCATCATAATATAATTAATGTAGCAAGAGAAAATGTATGCATGCTAAGGTGTAATTGGCATGATGTTTTTATTGATGCATGCATTGTGAGAGAATATGAGTATGGTCTTTTAATTGATGTAATTTAAATTATTCTTGGTCTTAGTGTATAAACATATCAATTTCAGAACAGGGAGTATTAGCAAACGATGGCACTCTACTATTTACGAGGAACACAGAAGATGCATTTTTCGCTTAAAAGAAGCACATGCGAAAAAATCTCATATTTCCGGAAATACGGGGGAAACACTAATAAAACGACAGAAATTGCCAGCCGTGCATAGCCGCCCTGTACCGTTTCACTCTAGTACTCGTGGCAATTGCTACTACCGCAGGCACAGCTCATACGCCGGACACGCTTCCATGTGGGCCCATGAGGCGCACAGACTCCAACGTGCCCATGGACCAGGTCCAGGATATTTTCGGCGGAATGGCTCGCTTCCCTCTCTTCTACAAAAAGGGCCTCCTAGCAACTGCAGCAATAATCAGATCCTCCATCCCGCGGCGGCCGTGAGCACCAACACTCACGCATTCCTTCCTACTCCGCGAGATCTCCGGATTCGTTTCGGTGTTTTGCGAGTCGCGCCCGGAGAAGAGGAGAGGAAATCCGGTCAATCGCGGCGTCGGCGTGCCGTCGCTTGGGGTGGTGTTGGTGGTTCTGAATTTTGATTGCTTCGTGCTTTTCGTTTGGGGGAGGGCAGTGGTCGCCATGGGATTGGGGAACGAGGCGAGCTCGTCGTCGTCGCGGCTGCTGGATCCGGCGCCTCTGCTGCCGCACCACGGTGGAGATGGCGCCGGGAAGCTGTCGTCGCAGCCCAAGACCTTCGCGAACGTCTTCATCGCGGTGGTCGGCGCCGGCGTGCTGGGGCTGCCGTACACGTTCTCGCGGACCGGGTGGGCGGCGGGGTCCATCCTCCTGCTCTCCGTCGCGGCGCTCACCTTCTACTGCATGATGCTGCTCGTCGCCTGCCGCCGCCGCCTCGCCGACGAGCACCCGAAGATCGCCTCCTTTGGGGACTTGGGGGACGCCGTGTTCCGCGGTCCGGGGCGCCTCGCCGTGGACACCATGCTGGTGCTCAGCCAGGCCAGCTTCTGCGTCGGGTACCTCATCTTCATCTCGAACACCATGGCGCACCTTTACCCCGTCTTCGCGCCCTCCTCCAACGCGCTCCTCTCCCCAAAGGCGCTCTTCATCTGGGCCATGCTGCCGTTCCAGCTCGGGCTCAACTCCATCAAGACGCTGACGCTCCTCGCGCCGCTCAGCATCTTCGCCGATGTGGTTGACCTCGGCGCCATGGGCGTCGTTCTCGGGGAGGACGTGTCCGTCTGGCTCGCCAAACCACCACCCGTCTTCGCCTTCGGCGGCCTGAGCGCGATCCTGTACGGCATCGGCGTGTCCGTGTACGCCTTCGAGGGAATCGGCATGGTCCTTCCGCTTGAGGCGGAGGCCGCCAACAAGAAGAAGTTCGGGACCACGCTCGGGCTATCCATGGGGTTCATCGCCGTCATGTACGGCCTGTTCGGCGCCATGGGGTACATCGCTTTCGGCGACGCCACGCGCGACATCATCACCACCAACCTCGGGACCGGGTGGCTCTCGGCCGCCGTGCAGCTCGGGCTGTGCATCAACCTCTTCTTCACCATGCCGGTGATGATGCACCCCGTGTACGAGGTCGCCGAGCGGCTGCTCCACGGCAAACGCTACTGCTGGTGGCTGCGGTGGCTGCTCGTCCTGGCCGTCGGCCTCTCGGCCATGTACGTGCCCAACTTCACCGACTTCCTGGCGCTCGTCGGGAGCAGCGTCTGCGTCCTGCTCGGCTTCGTGCTGCCGGCCTCGTTCCACCTCAAGGTGTTCGGCGCCGAGATGTCCTGGTCCGGGGTGCTCAGCGACGTCCTGCTCGTCCTGCTCGGCCTCTCGCTCGCCGTCTTCGGCACCTACACGTCCCTGCTGCAGATCTTCCATTCCTCCAGCGCTTAATCTCTGGAGAATCTTTACGGATAGCTGCGCCGATGATTGATTTGCTCATTTGCTTCGCGCGCGGGTGTCAGCCTGTCAGGTACGCTGGTTGCATTCTTCGTGTACAGAGAAGGTGATCGGTCGATCAGAGGGGCAATGCCCAATTCAGCTTGCTGTTGATTTGGGCATGGACAGCGTGCATCGGCCGCATTCTTTCGATTACAAGTCAGATGGTTTGTACAAGTTAGCGTGGATGGCATGGAGAAATCTGTATGGTTTTGCAACGACAGATTCCCATAGCTACTCGTGTCAGTTAATATTTATGTGTATGTCTTGGATGTTTCAGCTGCTGCATTGCACGGTGGAATCGATGAAAGGACATAGTAAGTTTCAGTCTAAGTTTAAGCCTATTTAGTTGATAAATAAAGTGTCTAGTTGAGGTTGCAGCTTGTGTGCGGTACTGCGGGTTGTGTCAATTAGGAAGGCAAGCAATCGGGACGACTTGGCAAAGTATACATTCTATTCTGTTCATTCTGTTTTGTCCCAAGCAAGTAAACTTGTAATGCCCCAACTACCAATCGAAATATCGAATCTTCTTTCAGCTTGCCTGTTATTACCAATGTTGCACATATAATTCTATCACGAAAGAACTCAAATTAGATTCAGACAAGAGCAAATCGCGTCCTCCATGTCGAAATATCTGACGTCGTGGAACATTTCAGAGTTACAATTCTCATCTGGCGTTCTGACGCAAGAAAAAGAAAAACGTAAGCGGACTCTCCTCTTTTGCTCTGGGCATCTCTACATTTCCTGATCAATCGTTCTCCCTAATCAGGTGAAGAATCCTTTATTATCTTTTCCCGTGTGCCTTTCCCGTTGTTTTTTTCTCGTCTCTCTTCTTATCCTCCAGTGACCGTATATATAAGTACTGAGTAATGATAAGCCAATGCGACCGTGCCAAGATGTTACTGTCATCGGATAAGGTCTAGACGACGAGCCAATTGATCTGCATCCGTGAACTTGAGGCGGTGCTCTCACCCAACATTTCCGTCGTTTGTTCGGCTGAGGATGCTCCGCGGCTCACAAGTTGCTCTTTTCTTGGGTTCGTTTCGTTTTCAGGGTGGGGTTTCCTGGGGCCCTTTTTTTCATGATGATGTATTGCAATTTGCTTCTCTTCCTGACAGCGACGGCGGTCTGACGTTAACGACATGTTAATTGTAGGTATAGCTGTCTCCGATCGACTCTTCTTTTTTCTAAGATGACTGTGTTCCGGTGACTATCGCTTCCCTGGCCGGGTCGTGTGGTTCGATTGGCAGGATAACCGATACACACGGCTGTTTTTTCATGGCTTATGTTTTCAGAGAGGGCGAAGCACACGGACACGGCAAACCTGCTTCTTAGGGATTGTGATGCTTTAGGTTGCACTGCTACCGGGCTACTGTCCGTGTCCGGCCCATCTCTTGCAGGACAAGCGGTTCGCTTCGCTCTGATTGTACGAGGAGAATATGGGCCGTTGCTTGACGCTAGATGGGCTGTCAACCTGGACTTCTCACGTTACCAGAGTTGGGCCAAATTGTTTGGCGCTGATGCGCTACGTTTGTTAACTGTTGTCCGATCCGACCCAATCCTATCAGTCGCAGAAAAGGAATGTTCTTATGTTCAGGCAATCTCTGAGTCTCGTCAACCTAATTAACCGCGTGGTTAGCAGGTTAGGTATCAGTCTGACCCGCCCGATTACTATTTTCTTCCCTGTGTTCTTTTCAGGAATGTTCCTGAGCAAGAGGGTGACGAAAACACGACCATCCATCCAGTTGGTTTCACACTTTTCACTGGAGCACCAGCTAGACGCGGAGTCCGCGTGTCGAGCAGACGAGAGATTTTGCACAGTTTTATGCTCCAACACGGCAAGTTTCCGGAATACAGTGGTGTACTAGTGCTGTACAGGTCTTTTCAGCCCACCACTTTGCTTGCCTCCATTTAAGAAAGGGGCAAGCGTTCCACGAATTCGCTGTAAAAGCGGACAAATCCCACCCGTGGAGAGTAGGACAAAAGGGCAGAATCACCGTGCCGAGCCAAGTGCAGACACGACACAGCGTGACGCCGCGGGACGTCTCCGTTTCCTCACCTAGCACATGGTGTCACCTAGTAGTACGTGAGGCTAGCGCCCGCTGTACCTGTACGCGACCCCGCGTGACGGCGTGTGGGGTGGGCACGAGGAAACACCTGCCAGTTTCGGGGGTCGCGGCTCGTACGAGCCGCGGCGGCGGGACGGAGGAGATAAGCATTGGAGCGTGATGATGTGGTGGACCATCAAGCGGCGCCGGCGAGGCGAGCGTGGGAGGGGACGTGGGTGGGCAAAGTCCACAAGAAAGATACGACACGAGACGGGGCGACGCGGACGCAATCGCTGGGAGCCGGTAGCCGGCGAGGCGGTCCGGGGTGCGTGTGTATCGTCGATCCTTATCCTATCACCAGCCGCCCACCTATAAATGGCGTATTAATTTGGCCACCATAAACCCGGCGTTGAGAGCGACAACTAAAACCTCGTGGAATGGGGGAGCCGCCGGGGAAGACCGGGCGACGTGACGCGGGCGGGACGGCGCCGGCGGTGGAAGACCGGTGGACGCAGCTCCCGCCGGAGCTCCTCCCGCTCATCTGCAAGAAGCTGCCGGACTCGGCCGACTTCGTGCGCTTCCGGACGGTATGCAGCGCGTGGCGCGACGCCGCCCCGTTGTCCGACGTCCCGCCGCAGCTGCCGTGGGTCGTCGAGCGCCGCGGGTCCGCGTTCCAGGCGAGGGCCCATTTCCGCTTCTACTCGCCTAGCTCCGGGAGGACGTACGGCGTCCGTGGCTACGGCGGCCGCTCCTGGCTCGTCATGGGCGGCGCGTGCCAGGAGCACCTCGTCACCACCGTGGACCTCTCCACGACGGCGCTGTACAACCCGCTCACCGGGGAGCGCCTCGCGCTGCCCCCCGCGCCGTACCCGCAGTGGCGCCACGGCGTCGTCCACGTCGTGGCCGCCGGCCGCCGCCGCGGCGGCGCTCCCCTGGTGGTGAACGCATCCACGAGGACGGGGCACTTCGGGTACTGCCGCCAGGGGGATACCAAGTGGACCCTGGTCGACGGGCGCCAGGACATGGGCCACCGCGCGTACCACGGCGGGCGGTTCTACGTCAACACAAACGCGCAGGAGACGCTGGTGATCGACGCCTCCACCGGCGCCGTCGAGTCCGTCCTGCCGCCGCCGCCACGCTCGGCCGACGCCGGTGCCGGCGTCTCCTGCGGGGACTACCTGGTGGAGTCGCGCGGGAAGCTGATCAGGGCCGTGCTGTTCCCGCGCGACGGCGTGGTGACCACGTCGGCCGAGGACTACTACCTCAACGTGTATCAGCTGCAGGAGGACGGGAAGGCCGCCGCCGCGTGGGCCAAGGTGGAGAGCGTCGGGGATAGCGTGCTCTTTTTCGACAAGCACGGGCACGGGTTCTCGCTGGAGCCCAACGGCGCCGCGGAGCTGAAGCGGGATTGCGTCTACTTCATGCACGAGAAGCGGACATGGCTGGACGCCGGGGAGTACAGGTTCCTTTGTCGGTATAACATGGAGACCGGAGAGGTCGATAGAGTTGTGTCGCTGCCCGACACGTTCGGGGACACCTGGGTTGTCCCCGGATTGTGCCCCTCTGAATAAGATGTGTCCCGGCGATGTTGTTGGTTTTTCGGTGTTTCTTGTAGTTTTTTCTCCTTGAATTTTCATTGAAAAATTAAATAGATGCATTTAGTTGCTCTGGGTGAATGATTGGTCTTTGAAAAATGAGAGAGGTCTTGGGTTGTGTGTGTCACACAATCACATGCATTTTCCATTATGTTTAATAAAATTTAATTTGTGTGTCTAACTTTTTGTGGCTTTAACATATTTTTATTGGTCTGATAAAAAAAATGATGTTTGCAAATAGTGGTGGTCGTGGTATAAAAAACAACTTTTTTATGGTGCACATTTTTACCAAACAAATTATAGCTCGTGTACTTACCATGTTTTATCTGTGAGCTAGTTGAGAAAATATAATTTGTGTCATGCTTTTAAAGATATTTCACTTCACACACATGAATCTGTCAAAAGTGCTAGTGTTGTTAGTGTGACAACTTACCTATCAGTTCATTACTCCCTCTGTTTCACAATGTAAATCATTTTAGCATTTCCCACATTCATATTGATGTTAATGAATCTAGACATATATATCCATCTAGATTCATTAACATCAATATGAATATGAAAAATGCTAGAATGACTTACATTGTAAAACCGAGGAAGTAATAAGCTAATCCCAAGAAAGCAAATAACTTTCGTGTATATTCGATCGGTTCATATTATACTTAGGCTCATACAATGTATCGACCAATTATATTGTTGGTGTTGTAGTAGAAATATGTTTCTGTCAGTTTCACTTTGCTTGTGTTGTTCGTGGTATCAACCTAGCTATTTTGTGTTGGTATTATAGCAAAAATATGTTTTTACCAATTTTGCTTTACATGTGTTGTTTCTTTGTACTGAACCCACGTGCCAATGCATTCTACTAGAATGTGATGAAGAAATTTCAATATCATGAATAGGTTTCTCTCACAATACATCAATGTGTACTAACTAGAGGAACACAGGAAGGCCACCACGGTGTGGGCCAAGGTGGGGAGCATTGAGGACCGCGTGCTATTCCTAGACAAGTAGGGGCATGGGTTCTCGCTAGAGCCCAACGGCGCGTCGGGACTAAGGCAGGATTGCGTCTACTTTATGCATGGACGTGGCTGGATTCCGAGGAGTACAAGTTCCTTTATCGGTATAGCATGGAGGACAGAAAGGTTGATAGAGTTGTGTCGCTAGTCCACACGTTTAGGGACACCTGGGTTGTCCCTAGATTGTGTCCCTCCAAATAAGATGCGTCCCGACAGCGTCGTTGGTTTTTGCGGTGCTCCTTGTAGTTTTTTCTCCTTGAATTTCCATTCAAAAATTAGGAGGATGTGCTTAGTTGCTCCGGGTGAATGATTGTCCTAACAAACATGGATAAATTTTGGGTTTTGTGTGTCACACAACAATAAGCATCAAATTACATGTATTTCCCATTGTGTTGAATAAAATTTGATTTGTGTGTCTTTTTTTGCAGTATTAACATATTTCCATTGATTCGAGAAAAAAATTATTAGTATAAATGTTTACATATCGGTCATGGTACGTAGGATGCTATCTTAGAAACTACTACTATAAAATAACTTTATGGTGCACATTTTTACCAAAAAATTATAGCACGTATACTCACCATGTTTTATGTCTATGCTAATTGAGAAAAAAATATTTTTTGCGTCATGCTTTTAAAGATATTTCACTTCCGCACACATGAATTTGTCAAAAGTGCTAGTGTTGTTGTTTTTTTTTGAAAGCTTACCTTTCAGTCCATTATTAAGCTAATCAAAATAAAACAAACAACTTTTGTGTGTATTCTGTTCATGGTATACTTAGGCTGATACGATGTATCGGCCGATTGTATTGTTGGTGTTGTAGTAAGAAACATGTGTTTCATCGGTTTCACTTTGCTTGTGTTGTTTCTGGTATCAACTTAGCTATTGTGTGTTGGTATTATAACTAAAATATGTTTTTATCGATTTTACATTACATGTGTTGTTTCTTTGTACTGAACCCACATGCCAACGCATCCTACCGGAATGTGAAAACGTTTTAATATCATGAATATGTTCCTCTCACAATACATCAACGTGTACCAGCTAGAGGAGCACGAGAAGGCCGCCACCAGTGTGGGCCAAGGTGGAGTGCATTGGGGAGTGCGTGCTCTTCTTTGACAAGTAGGGGCATGGGTTTGCGCTGGAGCCCAATGACGCGTCGGGGCCAAGGTGGGATTGTGTCTACTTTATGCATGAGAAGCGGACATGGCTGGATGCCGGGAAGTACAGGTTCCTCTGTCGGTATAGCATGGAGGACGGAAAGGTTGATAGAGTCGTGTCTTTGCCTGACACATTTAGGGACACCTAGGTTGTCCTCGGATTGTGCTCCTCTGAATAAGACGCGTCTTGGCGGCATCATTGGTTTTTGCGGTGCTCCTTGTAGTTTTTCTCTCCAAATTTCAATTAAAAAATTAGGTGGATGTGCTTAATTGCTTCGAGTAGACGATTAGCCTGAGAAACAAGGAGAGGCATTGGTTTTCTATTTCAGACGACAATAAGCACCAAATTACAAGTGTTTCCTTTTATGTTTAATAAAATTTGTTTTCTGTGTCTAGTTTTTCTGTGGCGTTAACATACTTCTGTTAATTTGTTAAAAAGAATATCATCATTAATGTCTGAAAATAGTAGAGTAGTTACGGTAGGGTGCCATCTTAGAAACTACTACTAGAAAATAACTTTTCTACGGTGCACATTTTTACCAAACAAATTATAGCTCGTGTACCTACCATGTTTTGTCTATGCTACTTAAGAAAAAATAATTTATGTGTCATGCTTTCAAAGATATGCAATTTTCGCACACATGAATTTGCCGAAAGTGCTAGTGTTGTTATTGTGATAACTTACCTTTCGGTCCATTATTATGCTAATTGAAAGAAAGTAAAACATTTTGTGTGTATTTCGCTCATGGTATACTTAGGTTCATACAATATATCGACCAATTGTATTGTTTTTGTGGTAGTAAGAAACATGTTATTATCGGTTTCACTTTGCTTGTGTTGTTTTTGGTATTAACCTATCTATTGTGTTGTTGGTATTATAGCAAAAATATGTTTTTTTAATCGATTTCACTTTACTTGTGTTGTTCCTTTGTACTGAACCCAGGTGTCAATGCATCCAACTGGAATGTGACAAGGTTATAATATCAGGAATAGGTTCCTCTCACAATACATCAATGTGTACGAGCTAGAGGAGCACGAGGAGGCCGCCACGATGTGGGCCAAGGTGGAGAGCGTTAGGGTCCGCATGCTCTTCTTTGACAAGTACATGCATGGGTTCTCGCTGGAGCCCAACGACACTTCCGAACTGAGGTGAGATTGTGTCTACATTATGCACTAGAAGCGGACGTGGTTAGTTGGCGGGAAGTATAGGTTCCTTTAATTTGTTGGTATAGCATGGAGGACAAAAAGGTCAATAGAGTCATGCCGCTGCCCAACACGTTCAGGGACACCTAGGTTGTCCCCGGATTGTGCCCCTCTGAATAAGACACGTCCCGAGGGCACCATTGGTTTCTGCGGTGTCCCTTGTAGTTGTTTTCTTCGAATTTTGATTGAAAAATTAGGTGGATGTGCTTAATTGCTCCGGGTGGATGATTAGCAAAGAAATAAGGAAATGCATTTGGTTTTCTGTGTAAAAAAACAATAAGAACCAAATTACTTGTGTTTCCTTTTCTGTTTAATAAATTTGATTTCCTTGTCTAGTTTATCAAATTTTATCATGTATGGAAGGTTTTTGTTTTGTTTTGAATCAAGGAACACACCACGAAAAATACTATTTTAGTTAATGGCACCAGCATGTCGTGCTGTTTGAAAATTTGGAGCATTTGACATGTCACGGAGACCATCCTCTCATGGCACACCTATCTCTAGAGCGTGTACCGTATCACAAAATTAGTGTTTGTGGAAAAAAAAATGCATCACAACATATTGCCTTTTTTTTCCTCGTGATGTGGCATGCTCACTTGTGTTGACATGTATATTTGAAAATGACAATAGTTTTGGTATGCCTATGATGCAATACCATGCTCGTGGTGTTACAGATGTATCAAACAACTAAACATATGCTAGACAAATGTCATGACACCACACTATGTTTTGCCTCGTGTGAATCTTGATTAAATGTGACCGTCACAGACTTGGGGTCCTACATACAAAAAAATGCGCATGATTAGAGTTAAGGCACCGGGTCTCTTTCCCCCGACTCACCAAAAGATATTTCGTGGGACGACGTGTGAATGGACGATAAGAAGTTGGCATATGGGGTTGCCCAGGGGATGACGCTCACAAACATCCCCGGGTTCCAAGGGGCACGACATCCCTGATCGAGGTTAGACACATGGCCAGGAGAGTTGGAGGCTGTCCCTGGCTAAGCCAGGACTGGTCGCATAGCGTGCCCTACTAGGCTAAAGCAGGGCTGAGAGAGCCATGCTGGAGCTCTATGGGCCCCACACCCCGTTGTAACCAAAAGCACGGAATCTATGTGCCTTGTCGCTGTAACCAATAGTGACATCACACTATGGACAACATGTCAAAGTGCCTTAATGAAGGTAGATTTAAGAAATCGTGCGAGTCTCTCTCTCTCTCTCTGTGTGTGTGTGCGTGCGCACGCGCGCACGCGAGCGCTCGTGCATGTGTGCGCGCGCATCCACTGCTCACTACGCCGTCCAATTAGAGGGTAGTTGGGTTGTCCCATTGCCAAAACCAGAGAAGGATGACATGAGTCACAGTTGGCAAAGCAAGCGTGATGACGGCTGGAGAAGACGAACAAGAGCAGGGAGATTTAGGGTTCATATACTCGATCGACCAATCCATCTTAAAAAAGAAAGATAAGAGTAGGGTTGTTATCCTCTGAGAGACTCAAACCTAGGTAAATCATCGTTTTGCAGTAAGAATTCTGCCAAGCCTCAACCGTAAGCCCCGCCAAACGCCAAAGTATGCAGGGTTCACCGGATTATGGTCTATTTGGCCTTGCCCATTGACAGAATGATTACGTGAAAATGTCCCCACATTAAATTTTTTTTGCTTGCCTTATGTTCATATCACATTTTTTTAGTCACAAGAATTGCAAGTTATCTACCACACTATTGATAAGAAATGTTATGATATATTGCAAGTAGCATGCTTGTGAGTGATATAGAAAAACCAAAATCATTGGCTTGTCAAGGAATTCT